GCGGCTTTTGGAATTCCAGGAAAAATCTGCAGGGAGGAGGGTCTGCGCAAATGTGAACGAACTCACCTGGTTTTCGGTTCGCAATGCTTTTACTGTTGGGGTTGGGTTGTGGGTGGATGAGGTGGGTGATGTTGGTCGGTAGGGATTGGGGCGTAGACATCTCGTTTTGTATCCGACTTTGTATGAAATATCTACTCCGGGTGTGTGGTCTGAAGGTATGACGCTTATGGTATATACCCTGTTGCCCCGATGCCTGGCTACAGGCGTTATTTCCATCTTTGTGATCCCAGACTGTTGACATGATTCCTTCCTGTGATGGTTCCTGGACTTGGGCCGGGAGATTTCTTGGGCGAGCCGAGTGAAGGAGCAAAGATTTTGCAGAATCCATGTCGTCTTTTGCCCGGGAACGAATTGGGCACATCAGGTTTTTACAGTTTTTTTTTGATCAGCCTGAGGCCCTTTTTTCCATGGTTGGCCCCCTGTTCTCTTGGCAACCAATCTCGTGGAGACCCCACCCCGGATGTAAGTAGAACCCGTCCTATTGTTAGGGGTGGCCCCCTCCCGAGGTTCTCATCACCCAGAGGGTTGGGCAAAAGCAACCGGGGCACCCCCAATCAAGGAGGTGTCGTACTCGGACGGCCCGCGCCTTGTGGGTGCGTGCCCGCGCTTTAGGCGTGGTGACCACGGTGGTGTCCGGCATGCCGGTGGGCCTTGGAGAGCCCTGCTTCGACAAGTTTGAGGCAATCGGTTGGGCGAAAGAGCGGCTGGTGGGTGGGTGGAGGGGTGGTGGGCCTTGCGATGCAGTACGCCCAGAACTTCAAACAATCTGAGGGAAACAAAACAAAACAAACATTCATGCCAGGCCTCTTGCTGGTCTTGCTGCCGCAAAGGATGGCGGAATGATACCAGCTTCGGACAGCATGTCGAAAGTGAAGTCGCGCCATGCGAAGGCCGCAACATGGGGGGGGGGATCCTGTCAGATGCCTCTTTGTGTTTGATTTTCTTTGTCCATGTTTTTGAGTTCAGGGATGCCTGAAGAACTTGCAAGAAATACCGCCCAACATCTTCTCCGCCGCCGAGGTTTTCTTGGGGGGTCCCTCCGCTCGGCCTCGCGCAGGCCGAGCTGGCAAAGGCCATGCTCTCGCTGCCGGCCACCAAGGCCTTTGAGCGCGGGGGCCCGGCTGGTGGCCCTTGGGCGTCCTTTGGGAAAATGACCGAACCGCCGTCGCGCGCCGGCTGCAGGCAGCGTGAACAGCGCACGCAGGGTATGCAGCATAGAGTAGGCAGTGCAGGCAGCGCAGCCGGGTGAGGCTGGTTGACAGTGTGAAACCGTACGAGTGCGTGATATCTGAATGACTGACCAGAGAACAGCGAAACAACTAAACAAATGCGTGACAGCATGACAGTGTGGCAACGCATGCACTATTGCGTGCTTTGCGCCCAGCCTCAACACTTGTACTACTCCGATGTGACATTGCTTCAAGGTTAGCTATGCGGCCGCGTTCTCTAAGCTTGTTCCTGAAACTAGGCCCTCGAAATTCAACATGCTTTGGTTTTTCTGCTGGTCTCCTTCAAAAGCAGCCTGAAAACGGGGGCCACCCGGGCGTGGGTGAAATGCTTCTCCGAGGATCGGAGATGGCTTCGCCGCATGCCGGGCCCGCGGCTCCAAGAACAACGACCTCTTCGTGAAAGGAGCGGCAGTCTGAGCAAGGCTACGGCTCTCGTCTGATTGGTACAGCGCGTCTTCTGCGAGTTGGTGCAGCTCTCAAAAGGAAGCCTTCCAAAAGGAAGACCGGCAATTTTGAATTTTGGGCGGTCCTCTGCAAAAAAGACTCACGTTTTTGACCTGTTGAACCCTCAAAGGCCGGACTACGTGCTTCCCCCTGGCTTATCCATGGCTTGTCCATAGCCCCCCGCAACCCCCCACCCATGAGGGGAGCATGGAACCCCTCGCTTAAACGGCCGAAAATCGGACATCTAAGCTGGTTTCCTTTTGGTTCCCCTTCTAAGAAAGACATCCCGAAACGGGGCAACCCATTTTGAACACAAACTGCGTCCTTGTGGCCTTAAGAAGAAACCCAACAAGGGGGAAGAGGGGTCATCTGCGCACGTGAAAACCAGTCATCTGCGCACGTGATCGACAACGGGACATTTTGCATTCTGCGCACGTGTTTTCCGGTCATCCGCGCACGGTGCCCGGTCATCCGCGCACGTACCGGGGGGGGGGGGGGTTGGTAAGCTTCGACGTTCACGCGCGCCAGCGCAGGCGGGTGGGTGGGGGGGGAACGCACGCGGGTGGGTGGATTTGGGGGGGATGGGGGGGGATGGGGGAGGGTTGGTAAGCTTCGTTCACGCGCACGGGGATGGGGGGGGGGGTGGTGGTCAGCTTCGACGTTCATGCGCACCCGGTAGGTGTTGGTGGGACGCGTGGTTTGGGGGGGAGGGGGGGGTGGTAAGCTTTGACGTTCACGCGAACCAACTCGCTCGGGTGGGTGGATTGATGTTGATGGGGGTGGGGGGTAAGCGTTGGTGGGACGCGGGGGTGGTAAGCGTTGGTGGGACGGTGGGAAGCTTCGATGTTCACGCCAGCCAAGTCACGCAATATGGGGGGGTGGCAAGTCTCGGTAGGAAACGGGGGGGGGGGGGCGTAGCCGGGCGGGGGGGCTGACAGGCTTGGACTCATGTGAAACTTTTAGAGTTGGATTGCTGGTCACTATTTGGGGGTTGGCTGCTCTTTTCGTGAACAAAGAGTCCGGACTCAGAAAGTGTTGCAGTATTGCGTGCGTATCAAACATTCAAAGCAATAAGTATCAATAAAATCAAGTGCTATCACAAAGCTTGCAGTACCGAACCGTATGATCATCGAAACAGCCCGCATGAACACAACGTGAATTGACAGAAGAAACCAGGCCTGAAGTCAGTCCAAGAATATGATCTGTTTCACTTGTGGAATCATGCGGTGCCCAAAAAGACTGTCAAGGTCATTCGACTCATCTAGCTGAATCACTGCTGGAATCATGCGATGTTGTGAAGATAACGATCGAACTGCGGACCTTCGTGATTTCAATCCAACTCGAACAAATTTCCGGCTTCTGATGCATGGAAGAACCCAGGCAAAACAGCTTTTCTTTCTTTTTTGGTCAGCACGTGCACGGATGACCAGGCCGATTTGCTGTAAATACCATGAGTTTTGAACAAAAAAAAACGTGCACAAAAGACCGCTTGACCACGTGCACAGAAGACCGCCTCACCACGTGCACAGATGACCCCCCTTCCAACAAGGGTGCCAACTCAAATGAAGCCGCAGTGTAACCGTCCTTGAGCAGAGCTTGTTGCAGCCAATTTCCTTCAGGATAATGTGGGGTTGTGTCGGTTTTTAGGGGAACCGTATTTTGCTTGGGTTTAAAGGGCAAACAAATGGAAGCCATTATTTTGGGGGCTTGCCTGTTTTAAGACAAACCCACGTGGGATTGTGTGAGTCGCTGGTAGCTGGGGTCATGCTGTTCGTTGGCCTTTTTTCTTCATTGGAGGTGTGCAAGTTTCGCCGGCTTTGCTTCTTCATGCAGGGCAGCAACTTGCATGTCCAGCGTCAACATGACCGTGTCGGTGGAAAGTCCTGTCTTGAGTACTCTTGCTGGCCTAACAGTTGCATGGCAGGCCTTTAAGGCAAGCGCGCTGCCGCGTTGCCCAATCTCTGGGCCCAGCTGAAATGATGGCTCCAGGATCAGATGGCTTGCTGAAGTGCAAGACGAACCATGCGGGCCTGGCGCCCCAGCCCGGCATGCGCATGCCGTGTGGGGGTACTTTTCATGGGGCCCTCCTGGGCTTCAAGAGGAGTTGTTGATGAATCCATTGCTCGGGGGCAAATGGCCAGGGAATGTTTTTGTTGACTTTGTTGCCTCCTGCTTAAGATCATGGGCAGTTCCTGTTCGGCTTCTTTCTGGATCGGCAAGGGTTACATGTTTCATTGGAGACGGACGCATGTGGGGACGTATCAAAACGAAGGACTCCTTTGCGAGAGAGATTTCAAGACACACCAACATGAAACACCAATCTTTGCAAGCTTCCAGTGAGTGCTCCTTTTGCCCAAAGCAAATCGATTCTTGGAGCTTTTGGTGTTTGAATGCTGACCTGACCTACTGGTAAAAAACCTTAACCTGTGATTTCCGGATCCTTGCGGCAAGGGCCACCCATCCCCCAACCCTCACCAACCCCCGCCGGGGGCTAGGGATCAGCCCACTGGCCATCTTTGATCGAACACGTGGCGAGGGGGCACCCTGGGCGGCATCACCAGCGGCGAGATGCTGGTCTTCCGCGTGGGCATCAAGCCTGCCTCCTCCATCTCCCAAGACCAGGACAGGGGGGGGGTTGAGTTAGCAAGCTTTTTGGGGGTGGCTCCAAGGAAAGCCGCGATTTCCCGACGGGCTGGGAGGTTGGCTGGAACCAGCATCTTACTCGTAGCCTTTTGGGTGGGGGCGTGCCACTTCTTCCGACCAGCATCAACTGCTCTGAGAAGGACGTATGAGGAATTGATGAACATTTGAGCATAGACTCCCCTTCAAACAAGTCGGTTTTAGAAATTATTCTCAATTTAGCATTTACGCTTCAATAGGCACCTTTTGAATACATGCCTTTACATGAGCTGAGTTCCCCTGCTTCCATCGGGTGGTTGGGGTAGTTGCAACCAACTTAGAGAGGGGAGCTTCCTTTGCGCTGAAGGTTCTACCGATCAAAAAGCCTTGAAGGGAAAGCATTTCCAAAGGCCCCGAGTCAGGCACAAAGGGGGTGGGTATGCACCCATGGCATTCTTCCGCATCTCCGGCATACTCGAGAAGCGCGGAAGAAACTTCTCGTGTGTACAGAATCGACTCCGTGGCTTTTTGGTAAACAATTCTTTGGTCATGTAGCCAGTCTTGCTCATGTAGGGTACCTTGTTGCTCCTGTTTTGAACGGCCGCCCGAGAATTCTCATGGGGCAGTGCCAAGAAATGCAATTCCCACCAAACCGGGACAATCTCATTTGGACACGCAGCCCGTACTTGCGGAATGCATCTGACCAGGGCCCCAAGACAACCAGAGGGTGCGTTCTGCTTGCCCAAATTTGTCAGTTCGTGACAAGGCTGCCCTTTGGATAAATGCAAACTTTATCTTTGGCCAAATGCATGCCACGGCCACTATGTGGCCAGTGGAGGCAATTTTGGCCGTTGTCATGAACTCACCGAGGAGCCCTGTTTTCCCGAAGCGAGGAGACCTGCACCTTCGACGGGGAGCCCCACGTCTTGGCCGTGAAGGGCCGCCATGACCCCTGCGTGCTGCCGCGCGCGCCGCCGCTGGTCGAGGGCATGCGCCTCGGAAGCGCACGGGGACGGGGGGACGCGGGGTGGGGCGGGGCGACGCCTTTTGGAGTTTGAGATGCCCGAGCGCTTTTAGGATTTGGAAGGTCATCCAGAGACATCCAGAGACACCCACCATTGATAGCAAATCCAAAAATGGACGATCATCGGCAACTTCAAGGCTACGTACTCCCCAAGTCAACATGGAAGCAAGAAAGGGGTCCCAAAAACGCTTGCCGTTTGTTTCCTGACATTTAAATCATATTTCAGCTGGTGCCCGGCACACTTTGTCCTTGCTGAAATTGCTTTGCGGAGGGGGGAATGCAACAGATGCTCTTCCATGTTAATTTGCAGGGGGCCATGGTAAACAATGCACTTGCGGATGAGCCATGGTGGTTTGAGGATTTGATCTCTTTTTTCCCACCCGACAGGAAGGGGTTGTTAGATTTTATGTTGGAATCCGCGTTTGCGATGCTTCTACACCACGCCCCCACCTGGCCAGTGGATATCCCGCCAGAGCAGCTCGCCAGTGGATCCCGCCGAGTATATCTCGCCGAGTATCCCACCAGAGCAGCCCGCCAGTGGATCCCGCCGAGTAGCCCACCAGAGCAGCCCGCCAGTGAATCCCGCCGAGCATCCCGCTGAGTATCCCAGAGTACCTCGCCAGTGGATCCCGCCGAGTATCCCACCAGAGCAGCCCGCCAGTGTATTCCGCCGAGCATTCGCTGAGTATCCCAGACTAGCTCGCCACTGGATCGCGCCGAGTATTGCCAGTGGATCCCGCCGAGTATCCCACCAGAGCAGCTCGCCAGTGGATCCCGCCGAGTATCCTGCTGAGTATCCTTTGCCGGTGGATCCTGCCGAGTATCTGGCCAGAGCAGCCCGCCAGTGGATCCCGCCGAGCATCCCGCCGAGTATCCCGGAGTAGCTTGCCAGTGGATCGCGCCGAGTATCCCGCTGAGTATCCCAGAGCAGCTCGTCAGTGGATCGCGCCGAGTATCCTGCCGGTGGATCCTGCCGAGTATCCGGCCAGTATCGAGCCGGAGCGGCTTGCCAGTATTCGCCAGTGGATCCCGCCAATATCCCGCCAGAGCAGCTCGCCAGTCTGGTTTTGCTTAATGTCCCGCCCGGCGCACAGTTGGGTTTACATTTCATGTTGGTGCCCTCGTGTTTTGAGTGTGCCCTGAGGCTCGGAAACGGTGATGCTTTTGTGTTGCTTTGGGCTGTGAATAAGCAACTTCGTTCAATCCCCTGTCGGGTTTCTTTTTGGAAGGGGCTTGGCTTTTGTTAACGGGACTGATGTTTGAGTTCTCGAGATCGGCTCGCAGACAAGTGGAGCTTGACACGCAGACAGGTGGATAAGGCTCTCAACGCAAAGCAAGCCACTTGAAAACCATGCTTGAATTCACACAACCGTGTTCACGGTCGTAAGCTCGTGAGTGTGGAGGGTGGGGATCGCTCGAAGCGAAGTAATTTTGTTTTTTGGGAGGGCAAATGAGAAGTCACCCCTTCTCCAATATACCAGCACAGGGTTGTTTGACAAGTTTGGGTTTCGGATTCTTTCCTTTCCTTTCCTTTCCTTTCCTTTATTTTTGGTGTTTTTTTTTGGCGGGGGGGGGGGGCGGGAGATCGCGGGGTCCAAGTGGAGGCCCCCGCTGATGTCCGAGGACCGCGATGGTGTTGATGGACGCCGTGCTGCGCCAGCGGGCGCGCAGCGGGGCAGTTTGCAAGACCTTGGGGGAGCTGGGCGCCGGTGAGGGGAAAGCGGCGCGGGCGGTGGCGCGGGCCCCGGATGGGGCTGGGGTGGGGGTGGGAGGTTGTTGGGCTGGGTTGTTTGGCTGTGGGGTGTTTTGGGATCAGCTGCTTGAGGGTTGGTTCTACGAGAAAGCCTCGCAGCATCCATGGCACGGGCTATTGGACGGGCGACGTGGCACCTTTCCGGAAGCGTGGACGCCCCCAACAATTGGCACGCCCGCAGTGACCTAAGGGCCCATTGACGAGGGCAGCTCAGGTTTATCTTTTTCTGCCGGTGCCGAGGCAGAGCCGCCGTACAAGGTCCCGAAGAGTGAGTAGACGCCTGGTCCCCATGGCGTGCTGCACCACCGGGCTGGCATGAGTGTCGAATGCAGACCTCGCTTTGGTCAAAACAGCCTGGGGTTCAGGGTTCAGCGCAAGCTCCAGCAAGACGACGGGTTGGGGCTTCTGTTCCTGGGCCTCCCCTCTTCCCAGTTGAGGTCTTCCCACCCCCCACCCCCTCCCTTTCCTCTCGTAGAACGGGTTCATTCGGGCACTTGATGCTCATACCGATGCCTTGTGCATCGCCATCATCTGCCACGGGTTTCGGGGGGTAGCGTGGCACTTGGCACCCGCTGGCGTAGGCGTGCAGCAGGCATGTCTCTCTTCTGTTTTGAGAGGATCCCTTGTATTGGAATGGGGTGTTCCTGTTCTTGATGCTAGGCTTCGTCTTGCCATTCTTGCGCAAGCCTTTTTGTTTTGGGGGGGATGAGGGGAAGGTGGTGGTCAACTTGCACATCTTGCACGTGCTTTGAATGCTTGGCTCAGGCAGCCTTTTTGGTTTGTTCGGGGTATGTTTGAACATTTGAATGAACGTAGTGCTGTCATGGGAGCGCTACGAGCAAGGAGTGGGTCTTACCCTTTGCTCTGAAGCAGTATGGCAGGTCATTGTTCGTCAGTCGGGAGATCTATCCCCAATGTCAGCAGGCAATTGGAGCCACGGGTTTGTCCGAGCAATTCGGGGCCAGCCGAGACAGGAGCTGTGGAGCGCACTGGGTTTCCCATCTTGCAAGCAACAAGGCAGTCTGGGTTTCCAATCAGGCCGTGCTGTGGATGTCAAAGACAACACTCACTCCACTTGTTGCAGGCTTCTCGACCTCACTTTAAATTTGATGTCCTCTTTTTGGTTCTCGTATGGGTTGTCCAGCACCCCGAAGTGGACATCAAGTTTGTCCTTACCTATTGCAGCAGTGGCCACAAATGGGCCGAGTCTGGGGCTTCGGCGGCGCACGGGATTGACATTTCGTCGTCGCGACCCTTCATTTGGATCAAGACTTGGCACGGTGTTTGGCTGTGGCTCAAAAAACCGGTACCCAAAATGGAACCCCATAAGTGGAAACATGGACCAAAAGCTGCGTAACCCCTCCTGTTTAATTTTGAGCCACACCCATTTTGAAAGCCTACAAACATCTCCTGTGGAACATTCAGACGCAGGGACGACCTGAGCTGCGCAGGGACGTGGGCGGCGCCTTGGAAGAAAGCTACGCGCAGCACGGCAGGTTCGCCGTCGGGTCCAAAACTGAAGACCGTGCCTTTTTGCCCCAAGCATTGGAGGTCGGGTCGGCTTTGCATACAACCAATTTCTGCAGGTCTTATCATTTGGCTGGCGCGTGCGCAGTGCCCAGTGGGTGCACTTGGGCGGGTGCGCTTCGCAGTGCTGAGGGGGTGCGTTTGAGTAGGTGTACTTTTTGTGTGGCTGGCGCGTGCGGCGTGTGCGAAAGTGCTGCGCAGGTGCGCCTATATTTGTTTCAGGTACGCAGCGCAGTGCTGAGTGGGAGGGGGGGAGTATTGTTCCATGCGCACAAGGGCAACCGACGCTCCCCCACCCGCCCCGGGCCCATCCGGAGCCGCAACGCTTCACGGAGTGCGGGGGCACACGGAATTGCCACGCGCGCCTCAGTTTCGCGTGGCGGGCGTGCGGTTTTAGCTGACGGCAAACCCCTCGTGCGGTGGCAAACCTGCTACAAGCAGATACGGTGAGTGCGTGCTATGATCCCTCCGGACTGCTGGAATTCAACATGAAGGAGCTGGAAGCCTCTGTGCGAGTTTTTGGGCAAGCCCGTGCTGGAGACTCAATTTCCGCATGTCAACGACCGCGTCGTCATACAAGCCCTGCTAGGGATCCTGGGGCTGATCACGTGGATTGGGCCCGTGGTTCGCTGATTCGTTTACCAGACCGGGACAATGTCAAGAAGCGACAGTAGCGGAAACTGCGCTTCGCTGCTACGATGTAGAAGCCAAGGCATGCTGCGGATCTTGGTGAGATTTCAGGTCCCCCCGGCTAGAGCTTTTGTGTCCGTGCTCAGCATTGAGCACATGCATGGCGCACACTATCTATATCGGTTTAGGGTTTAGGAGCTCAGAGGGAACCGTTTTCTTTTTTGAATCATACCAGCTGTTGCTATTTTGGGATTCCTCGTTTTATGTTTTTGACAGGCAAGCAAGCTGATGATTCCAAAGAAGAAACACCCAGAGATGGGGGCTCCGGTGTTTCGTTTGTGACGTTACTCCTGACAACTTATGTTTGTGCTTTTTGTTTTTTGGAATCACGCCTGGGACGCCGTTTATTTTTTTATTTTTGGTTTGAAATCACGCTTCAAACACCCCAGGCGTGAATTCAAACAAAACTCACCGGGACCCCCGGCCTGATGTCAAAATATGTGATCCCACAAGTACAAAGGCACCGAAGCCAGCTTAGCGCCTTAGAAACAGTAATTACTAGGCGCTTTAGCAGGCGAGCAAGCAGGCCATGAATCTGTGGGGCATGCCAGCTATGGCAATGCCCCTATCATCAAAAAGGAACCAAACGTAGATAACTTGGTTTTCGTGTAGGAAGTCCACACCAAAAATCGACTTCTTATTCTTTGGGCTTTGCCGAGTTTGATAAGCAATTTAGGTTTCGGGTCTCGTGCGTGTTGAGGCGGTTTAGGAGGCCCTGTGCATAACATATTTCCATATTCAGCTGTCTTCCTTGGTAGGACAGGTTCTTCTTTGCTGTACCCGGGGGGGGGTGCCAGTGGGGTCATCGTCTTAGAAGTGAAGCAGATAGTTGTTCAAATGCAACAGCCTTGCCCAGGAATGAGACCCAGACGCGCCGGCACAAAGAGGGGCGCCAGACATCGCAGGCATCGCTGGGCGTGGCCAGGCGAAAGCTTCGGAGTCGGCAAATGTCCGACGCCGCTTCCTTACCCAGAAGCTGGGAGGTTGGCGGCAAGCTTGGGTCGACCGCTGCGAGCTTCTGTAAGCTTAGATCCTGAAACCTGTGGCTTGAAGCCTTGTTTTTCGCAAGTGTGGTCGCACATCTGCAAGGGAAGCCAAGTCAGCCAGACCCGCAGCGCGTGGAGCGCGAGCGTGGGAGCCTTGCCGAGAGCTTTTGTGTGTTTGGCTCGGGTGGGTTTGCTTCGGAACCTTTCCAGCCGCAACAACCTCATTTTTTCAAAGGCCACACCGCTTGGGAGGAGACGCAGCACAAGTCGCTTGCTTCAGTTGAAAGCCGCTGAAGGGCAATTTACGGGACTTGTATGTCCGCTTGGGTGTTTCTGAAAGGCTCCCCTCGCCTCCTAGGCAGTACGTCTTGCCAAATCCACCTTGCCATTTCCTTCGAAAAGCTCCTAGCCACGATCTATCACTTTGCATTGCATTGTCAACAGGACGGCTCGCTCCATGAATCCATAGAATCAGCCCCATTCGCGTCACTCCAGCGGCAAACCGGGTACAGGCTCCGGATTCCAGGTTGCCCTTTCCGTACGTGTGGGTTACTGGGGCCTTCCAGCGGGTAGCAAGTGCAGAAAGGCCCGCCGATGGCCCTCGGGGGTCGCTCCCTTGGCGGTTACCATCGTAACTTGCCGAAATGGCCGTGGAAACGGACCGCTGGACGGAGGCCATCATTAAGGGAAGAACTTCTACCCTCCCTCCCTCTCATGGCACCGGACAGGTGACTTGGGTGTCGTTTCCCTGAGGATTGTCGGCCCAGTGGCCCAGGGTCTGCTTGTCAAATGGCCAAAAGAGATGCTCAGAGGGGCCCGCACCTCATGAGTTTGTTGCAGGCGTCTATGATGTCCTCCGTGGTTCTTTCCAGGTTCCTATCATGAAGCTTGCCTACTTTTTCCTGCGCTCTCGTGCGAAAAGGATGCACTCGCTTGCTGCGTGGCTGATGGCAGCCCAGGGCTAGTGGTACGGCAGCCTCTTGCAAGGGAAGCACACACCCACAGCTGAAGAAACATCACATATACTTGGATGCGTGTGCGTACGTGGGCTTGCAAGCTTGTATCAATGTGCACACCTCCTCAGTCACACACACTTATATCTATCCATATATGTATATATATATAGTTATATATATATATCTATATGCACATGCACACTCTCTTGTCCTTAATCTTGGAACCACAGCAGTTTTGTCTCTCCCCACGTAGAAGCTCTTTGGTTAGAACCAACCCAGGAAGTGCCAGGCTCGTGAAAACACGAGGGGACCGCGGAAGCCCTGCGAATGTGGAACTTCCTGGAAATCAGAAGGTCATTTCCAGAAGAACCCTTTTTTTTTTTGGGGGTTTTGGGAGGGGGGGGGGAAGGGTCCGCGCTTGCCGTGCTAGGGGTGTCCCTCAATGTTGGTGTGAGAGGATTGACAGGAACTTCCACGTTGGTGTAGAAATGGATGTGATTCGGTTTTGTCAAGGGTATACGTGTACATACAGGTTTCCATACAAACAGGCATGCCCGTGTATATTGAAACCTGGCTTTCAAGATCCAGGCCGTTCACAGTTGTTCTCAGTGGGAACTTTCATGGGCATTTCCACCAAAGTGGGTTCACGGCTCACTTGGTGCCCTTTTTTGTTTGTTTGTGTTTTTTGGGCTTTGTTTTTGCATCTTCCCGTTTGGAAAACGACCTCATTTTCTTTGAGGTTTTGAGGCGGCCAGTCGCGCATTCTTGAAGACGCCTTGGGGTTTGTACATCGGGGAGTGGGGGGTTGTGGGGGGTTGGGTTGGGTCACCTGTGGGAGGCTCGGTTTGCCGCCGTCGCGGTTTCACCGTGGACCGAAAGCCCCGGAGGGTTTGAGGTAGAGGACCCGTTTCGGGAGGGCTGGATGAAAGGGATCGAACGGGCCGCACGGAAAGCGGGGGGAGAGATCGGTCCAGCCCACTTCAGTTCCGCTCAAGCTTCTGACACCGTCTCTTTTCTGGCTTAGGCAAGGCAATCGAAGCAATCGAAGCAAACCCAAAAGGAATGGCAAGGGCGAAGGGCCAGGGCGACCAAAGATGGTTTCATCTTCGGGTCTCAGGCTCCGAGAGCTCGGGGCCTTGCGCGGGCTGAGCTACAGGTGCGCTGGCGGCGGAAGAACTGGCACGCCGTGCGCGTGTTATTTCTTTTTTCTCCCCCCTTTTGGTGTAGGGCCCTTCTGGCAAGTAACCAGCTGGAGACGGTTTGCATGTCAGTTTGTTGGGCCATAAATCCAATGGCATGGAGGGGAGCCAAGTGGGGAGAAATCGAGCCCACCAATAGCGTGTGCGAAGAACCACCCCCGACCTAAGGCGGCCTTGGCGTCTTACCACACAGAAAGCAAGAAACAGTCTGCTTGTTTGTGGCCTTGGGCTGGTGGCATACCACTGTCTCCATGGTTTCATAAACTCTATTTCCCTTGGTTTAGTTACATGTGGAATTGTTCCTTATGCAGGCCTCGTGCCCTATTGTTCTTTAGTGGCTTTATACCATGGTTTCCCTTGAGCAATTGCTTTCTTCAGCAGCAGGCTTGGTCGGACGCTTCTGGAGGCCAAACTGACCTAAGCAGAGTAGTCCGGGCCAACCAATCTAGCAGCCAGCCCTACGAGAAAAACCCGCACACACACACACAACAGAAAAGGCCAAAGTCAAAGACACATGCATTTGTCCAACTTGCCCCGCAAGGCGCCCAAAAAGAAGCCACAAGCAAAGCCAACTCGCCCCACTCGGGCGCCCAAGTCGGCCGAAGTCGATGTTGTGCGAGGCTCGCCAGCTGGCAGACGCAGCGCAGCTTGAAGGCGCTGGCGCGGAGGGCCCTGGAAGCTGGCCAGGCGTGTTGGGAGGGTGTTGGGAGGGTACCCTTTTGGGGGCTTTTCAAGGGGTGTCCAGATGACTAAATACTAAACCCCCTGGTTTTAGTGGGGGGTGTATCACTTTTGGTTTTAGAGGGAAGCCAGAAGGAAGCCTCATGACCGGGGGGTGTCCCCTTTTGGTGGGGGGTTTATCACTTTTGGAGGGAACGCCTGGGGTTTATTCATCCGGGGTCAACGGTATGATATTGTGGGCTAGCCTACTTTAAGACACGCCCTTTTTGGGAGGGGGCCACAGGCCTGTTGCGGACCATGAGGATGGATTGCGGAAGGTCCCATGCTTGGGGGGGGCGGGGGGCGGTCCAAAGCTTCTCTGCTAATTGACATGGGCTGCCCAAATTAACATGGGCCCATTTCTGAACAGATTCCTCAAAACAGTTTTTTCCCCCTAGCTGATAGAGCTGTGGTACGGCCTCTTTGGGCCCATTTTGCATGTTGAGGGCTTCTCCACACTCTTAGGGCTTTTCATGACGCGATTTGGAGGGTCATGTTGAGGCATGTGGATGTTGGTTTCGGGTGGCCGCTTGTGATACAGTTGGGAAGAGACTCACGAAAAATGGGAATCAACTTCTGGAATGGGACTTGCTTTTTGGAGTTCACCGAGCCAAGAAACCACGCCATGCGCAAGGCTTGGTTCGGAGCTGAAGATACCGTTCTCTTCGGTGAAATTCTGTTCTGTCCAGGGACCGTCTGGCTTACACAAAAACAACGTTCCTGGCATTCCCTAGAGCTGCTTCTGCTTCGTTGATGCCACCGAAGCGGCAGGGCTTCGCAAGCGCTCTCCGCAGGTTTTTTTGCGGCGAGCGAGCTGCGGTTACCGCTTGCGCTCCTGTAACACATGGAAAGCGCAAGTGTTCGCTTGAAAGCTTGGGAGGGTCGGTCACCCGCGCGCACCGAACGTATGAGACCGCTTTGGCTCAGAGGTCGGTGGCATTCTTGGTGAAGCTGGGGGTTCTGGGGTGTTCGTTTGCCAATGGTTTTGGCCAGCGCTGTGTGGGCTAGGTCGCATCTTAAGCAACCAGCTTTGCCTGTGAGTTTGATACAGCTCCAGAAAACTGACATGGAGCAAAATGCGGGGTTCCCTAAGGAGTCTCGCATCGGGGGCTTCACCATAAAGGACTTGAGCAGGCCGGTGATCCCATGGACCGGTTGCGATTCCACAACAAAGGGCCAAGCCATTGGCCAAGCCACATCTTGGGGCCACGCAGAACCTCCTGCGCTGTTGCCCATTTCAGGTGGCACCCTGCGAGCGGAGCGGCCTCAGCCCGAGGGTGCTGCTGCAGCTGAAGGCTGGGAGGGGCACCTGGGGATTTGCTCTCAAATCCTGTTTTGGTGGGGTGGGGTCGGAAAAAATGGAATCAATCCCAAAGAGGTGCTGCCCTTTTCCTTCCTACCGCCGGGTCACTTGGAAGGAAGGGTGTGTGTGTGTGTGTTGTCGGAAAGACGGTATCAGTTGTTGGCTCCGTGGATTTTCCATATATGCGAGTCAACAAACCCAACCAATGTACATTGCAGGCGTTCCCTGGTTCCCGACTTGCAGCGGAGGGAGGCAAGTAAGGTGCAGGCTCGCTTGTGGCTTGAATTTAGCGCAGGATGCGCAGGCTTCTGCTAGGGTCATTATTTTGACCGTTTCTAGGGGCTATCAAAGTCAGAAAATGGGGCTGTTTCCCTTCACGTAGGGGATGACTTTGATCATGGTAGAATAATCAGGCCAGTTCTTGCATTCTCCCTCCGCCCTTGACATCGACGTCCTTCCCAATATGCCCCCGATTTGAGCGCAAGTGTTAAAAGGAGATCCCAGAAACCGCCACCGCATCAGCCTCGGCCCTCGTCAGCTCAAGAAACGCCAGGTGGAGCCCTCCACAGCTGGTGCCCCAGTCACCGATAGAGCACACAGATGTGTCATGAGCGGCGCTTTGCACTTAGGAAGCGCTCTTTCAAAAGGACGGCCTGAGAGGGAAAAGCGGGGTGGGCTTGGTTTGGACCCTCATGTTGGTGGGTCCCCCTTTTGCGCCTGTCAAATGCAAACCAATGTTTTTTCCTCAGAAAGCTGAAAGCTATATGGGTTCTAGCTTCTAATAAACCGGGGAAAGCGATTTGCGAGAACACCCCAAACAGCGTCCCAAAACAGCACCTGCACCTGCACCCCAAACAGCATGCCCTACAGCAACCCCGCAAAAGCGCCGCACCCCTAAACAGCACCTGCACCTGGTGCAAGTGTATTTTTTGGGGGGTGGAACCCATGGAAAAGACACCAGCCTTGTAGACTGGCATCTGGAACTCATTCCGTTGAAAGTGGCGAGGCGTTATACCGAGCGCCCCGAAGAGTGAAGCGAGCTCACCCATGAAGGTCCGGTGGGCTCCTTCGACCGCTGGGGCCCTCCGGTGTCCAACACGGCCTCGCGGCCAGCTGTGGTTTGCGGCGGTGGGTCCGTGGGTTGGTCTTGGCTATGTGCCGTGTCTGTTCCCGTGGGCTTCTTCTGCTTGGGCTTCGTATGGCCTTTGGTTCCTTCCCTCTGAGATCTTGCTGGAGCTTGATGTATGTGAGAATGTGGTCGTCTTGTCGGGGTGGTCTCCTCCCAGAACGTGGGCTCCTTGTGTGCGCATGCCGCGCTTTTATCCTGCATGTTTGGGATGTTGTTGTTCCCTGACGTGAGGGCTTCTTCGCTGGCGGCAGCTGTCTGTCGTCTTGGTGTAGTGGTCTCGGATGGGGGCCTTGCGCGGACTCACTTGCTGCGTGCTTGTGGGCATCCTTTCGTTACGTCGGGTAGGCTTCCGCCAGCCGCTGCGCTGGATCCTCGGGCATGTGGCAGAGGCAAGTCCGTACATTGCTGACCTGGTGGTGTTCAATTTGCTGCAGAGCACCATGCTGGTGGGGTTATGTGAAGTTCGTTTGTAGATGCACAATCGGTCAGCGGGCTGATGAAGGTGTGGCATCACCATCCTCACCCTCACGTCTTCAGCGATCGGATGGCAGTGGTGGTTGCAACGGGCACGCCGCGTTGCTTGCAACTCTGGTTCGGCAAGTGGTTTGAGTGTGTGGGGATGGGGCTGCGAGTTTCGCACTGAAAGAGGAGTTGGGGTGTGGCTATACATCAAGGTGGAGGAGCTTGTCATGCTGGTTTGTGGCTCCGTGGGCGGCTGATGTTTGCGTGTGTGGATCGTTGTATGACAAGCTGCAGCGCTGTGCTTTGGCTGCTGGCCATGGTAGCCTTCCGGTGAGGGATGGTTATAACCAGCCAGAATGTTGGCAAGCGCGTGTGACATGGCACATGTCGTGCAAATGAATCCAGTGGGACTGCCTGCTCAGGCTTCCCGATTTCGCAGGCAAGTTTTGTGCGCACCTGCTGCGCAGCATAGCTGGATGTCGAGTTGTTTCAGCGTTGTGGGTCCGGACCATGAGGCGACTTTTAAGAGGTGTCCCTTTTGGTAGGCTTAATTGGAAACAGATAGGCTCCACTGGTTTTAGTTTGAAATCGTTTTCATTTGCCAGTGCCACCATTTGAGTGCCAATTCTTGTACCCTCTTTGGGGTTGGTTTACAGTAAAGGGAAACCAGCCAAAGCCGAGGCCCCAATTTGCCACGGGGCTCCATTTTCCTTAAGCGGATTCCCTTCAAACACGTCGCAAGGAGATGAAGGCGCAGATGCGGTACTCCAAGGCACTGCAGAAGGCTTTCATGGACAAGGGCAAGCTACACTTTGTAGAGGTGGGGGTAGGTTGGGGTTTGGGGTGGGGCATTGGGGGGTGGGGGGGTTGCTGTTGAGGCAGAGTTGCAGGGCGTGCCGGAGCCGCTAAAGAAGCAGTGGGCCGGGATGGGCCAGATGCTGAGGACGGGGAGATTAATGCGACGATTGGGGTGGGGCTCGGGTTGGGCAAAGCTCATCGCTTTGACTCGCGCTGTGTGTTGACGCCGAGCACTGCGTTTTGACCGATGTGCGGCTCAATCTCCGAAGCGCCCAAAAAGTGGCCGGATCAAAAGCCCAAAAGAAGAGAAGCACCGCGAAAGCCGCGTCTGGACCATGCCGGAGATGGAGTGCGACCCCTCTTCGGCCTTCTTCGGGTTTATGGGCGTCACCTCCGCCCTGGTCTTCGCGAACCTGGGGGCGGCCTATGGCACGGCGAAATCCGGGGTTGGGATCGCCTCTATGGGAGTCATGCGCCCGGACATGAGCCATGGCAAGTACCAGACATGGCATCTCTTTCTTTTTGGTTGCCAGTTTTCCTCTACATCCCCCAACAGAACCCCAGAAGGACATCAACAAACTTTGTTTTCTCCTATCCGGTTTTTGCCTCTACATCCCCCAGCAAAACCCCAGAAGCACATCAACTACCATTTTTTTCTCCCATGTGGTCTTTTTCTCTACATCCCCCAACAGAACCCCAGAAGCACATCAACTACTTTTTCTTTTTCTTTCTCCTATCCAGTTTTTTTCCTCTACATCCCCCAACAGAACCCCAGAAGCACATCAACTAGTTTTGTGGTTCTGTAAGGATCATGAAGTCCATCATTCCCGTGGTCATGGCAGGCACGGGCGCTTTTTCTTGAGCCTGCTGTGGTTTCGGCTGAGAAGATTCTGGGGTGCTCTCGGGTGGACTGAAGGGTTGGAAGCTTCAAAACAAGCCCAGCCATGGAACCAGCAGCAAAGAAGAACATGCTCCCCGTGACGCATCTGCTGAAATGGATTCAAGAAGGCTCAAGTGCTACTGTGAAACAAACAGTTGGCATGATGGCAGGATGCTGCCGTGTGGGTGTTCTGCTCTCGTCACGAGAATCGGTCCGCGCTTGCCCGTTAGCCATCCTCGCGGCCCCTTTGGAGCCTTTTCCGTCCGAAGTCATTTCAGCACGGCACTGCCCGCAAAGGCCACAAAACCGCAATATAGCCACGTGAGCCCTGCATAAATTCTGCTAAATGAGAGCCCAAGATGTTGTCTGAGGAAAGAATAGGAAGAGCTGTTTGCCGAAGATTTCATTGCACTCTCTGTGGTGGAGCTGAGGGGTTGAAAACTCAAAATCCAACACAGTCAGACTGGGGGCAATTCCCTCGATGCAAGCTAGGAATTGGGCCGCGTTTCATACCTAAACTTGGGCCCCGAAAAGATCTCAGAGCTTTGTTGGTGCCATTTTCCGTGCAGGCATGTGTGATAAAGGCCATGGTCAGCCTTCCTTTGCATACTCAGCGCAAGCTGACATGAATGTTCTCCAAAGGGAAAGCAAGGGTAAGCTGGGATCAATAGGCGAAATAGAGTGGTGTCAAACTTCAGAGGCTTTCACAGATCACTTGCGGGAACCTCCAATCAATTTGCCAGATTTTACTCATCACAGGCAGACTCCAGGGGCGCTTACAACACCTGCCAGGTGTCTTGGGCATCTATGGGCTCATCACGGCGGTGATTATCAACGGCAAGATGGACGCCGCCAACTACTCAGCCTACTCGGGCTACGCCCACCTAGGCCTGCATGATGGAGCTTGAGTCATCCATGGGCATGTGGGTTGTTGGCTTTCTTTCAAAGTCAAAACGAGGGTGCCTGGTTTTGAACACGTGCATATCCCTGTGCTCTCTGGCGCGTTCGGAATCACAATGGGGCAGTTCTTTGTTTGTGGACAATCAGTACTGTGGATGGACGAAACCCTGCAACACTTTGAAACCATGAGAAACCATGAGAAACCATTGGTAGTTGGTATTTACAGCGGGGTCATCATTCCAGGGTTTCTTAGGTGGTGCGAAATAGATTGCGTGACTCCACAGAAGGGTGGTCTGATGCCGTTCTTGCCTCACAGCACCATGAATACAAGGCGGGCACATGAACGTTACTGTGGATGGACGAAATCCATTTGAAGTGCCGTCAAAATTACATCTGAGATCTGTTGAGTTTAGGATTTCGGTGTTTCATTGATACTCTGAAAATGCACACATGGCAAACGATAGGGGTCTCTCAAAAAAACCATACCCCTGGAAAAGGCTGGAAGCGCTGGAAAACGATATGGGACTCTCAAACTAAGTAGCGAAACGGCCGCAAGTAAGTAATTTTGACCGTTCCTCATTTGGCACCACCTAAGAAACCCTGGAATTCTATGGCTCATTTGGGGAGCAGCTCGAGGACGAACAAAACCAAACAACAGCTGGAGGATTGCGCAGATGGGCCAGGACTTCTCCTTGGGCATCCATGCAATCCTTCATCGGGTTACCAAATGGGTCCTTTAAGCGGTGGTTTCCCAAAAGGAGTTCCATCTGGATTTCGGAGAAACACCCGGGCTTGCAGAATTGCGTTGCACTTGCTCTTGCCCAGGTCAAATGCTTAGAGCTCCCCAAAATTTCTAGATTCCCAAGGCTTCACTTGAAGGGGCCCAGCACGAGAGAGGGGTGCTGCGATGATCTTTTTCGACCCGCTCAGCGTGGCATACCCATCCTTGAATTGGAACAGGTTGCAGTTGACAAGGAGGCAAGGAAGCGCCCGTTTTCACATCCCTTTGAATCCTTGAAGGCAACGCCCGGCAAATCGATTTTTTTTTCTTCTTCAATCCTTCGATTTTCCCTTTTCAGGTAGTTTCATCTGCTTTTATCTTGGTACCAACAAACCCTTGGTGATTTTTGTCCCATCGATCGGCAGGCGCCGGCCTCACGGTGGGCATGCGCCCCGGTCTGCCATGTTTTGATTTTGCTGGATTTGCCAGCAGGCATCAATCAACACAGAAGAGAGGGGTACGGGTACGCCAATTTTGGTTTGGCATTGAATGAAAGGCTTTTTTTAGCTTTTTGCAGCTAGCAACCAGCAAGGAGGGGTGAAGGGAAGATGAGCCACCGAAGCAGAGTTCAAACAATTCTGGGCAGGTTCCCTGCAGAAAGGGGGAGAAAAGGGAGACTCAACCCACATGATGCCATTGTTGCTTGTTTGTTGGGTTCCTCATTTCTTTCTTTTGGTAGCCTTCCCTTCAAATTCAACCTGCCAAAGGAAGGGGTGCACGGGACGAACAACCAGCAAACTCCAACTCAACCACATCCTCCTTTTAGGTCTACTTACTGAGTCTACTGGATGGTTTCAACTATTTTTTCGCCCAACTGCCGCACCCCAGGTCTTTTCACTTTTAAAGGAGGTGGCAGTCCATTGCGCCCCCCCCCCCTTCCCCTCCTCCCCCCCCTCCCCCCAAGACTCCTCCAAGGAGCTCCCTGGCCGCGGGGCTGGCCATTGGCATCGTGGGGGATGCCGGGGTCAGGGCCAACGCGCAGCAGCCCCGGCTCTTCGTGGGCATGCCGGGGCGCCCAGCGTGAAGCGCGGAGTTTTTTGTTCCGCCTCGCCCGGGGAGCCAAGAGGGAGCCGCAAGCTCTCACATGTCGTTGGGTGCTGCGGTGTTGCCAAACGGGCGGGGGGAGGGGGGTAGGTTGTTCATGTCATGTTTTCTTTTGGAGGGGCATCGCTGGGACATCGGTAGGAGAGCTTGGTGAGGAATGGAGGGAGAGGGCCAGGTCCGTCCCAAATTGGATCAAGAATCCCGAGCAGAGCTCTGGATGCATAGCGAGTTCGTTTCCGCCAGTTGATGAAATACCACTATGGACTATGAATTGGAGCAGTGCAAAGCTACGCGCCGTAAACCAAGGGAAGCCACAAGAGGGATACACAGTTCAACAAGAAAGCACCGGATAACCTGCGTTCGAGTCCACCAGAAACTAGGGGTTGCCAAAGATCCCTTGAAGCAAGTTGTCGTCTCCTGTGTTTGACGCATACCCAAAACTCAAGACAAAGACCTCGTTGATTGTTCTTTTTTTTGGTCGGCGGTGTTTCCTCTCCGCCTTCTTGGGGACCCCGAAATTCCGGGGGACGAACTTCCGCAGGATCTTGATCCTCATCTTCGCAGAGGCCCTGGGCCTCTACGGGCTGATCGTGGGTCTGGTGGTGGCCTCGACCGCAGAGGGCAAGGGCAAGGGCCTCTGCAAGCCCTACGCGTGATCGGGACCCCGCTGCTCGCCCAGAATTAGCTCCTTTTTTTTGTTCTTTTCTTTTTTGGGGTCCCTTTGTTTTCCACTAACCAGGCAAAAGACAAATACATATCTTTTTGGCAGGGGTCCTAGTTCCAGCCTAGGTTGAACCCGTTGCAAGGCCGGACAACTTTCAGCTCGGAGTTTTGAGTTTTGCAAAAAGGTATGTGCCGCACCCCATGCAGTTGTTGAGTGGCCGGCTTGAGCTTGTTTGTTTGAGTTGGTGTCAGTTGATGTTTGCGTGTCAACTGGAATGAACTGACCATGTTTCCCTTCTTACCCAACGGCCACTGGGCAACTAGTTGTTGCATGGGAAGGGGCCGACCCCTTGACCCAATCGAATGTCTTAGCCGCGCACATCGAGAGGGAAGGCGACAGCATCCGGCGCGAGGTGGCGCGACTCCGTGCCGCAACGGTTCCGACTTAGCGAGGCAAAAGAAACAACCGGCATGTCGGGAAAGTTGACGAGGGCAGCGAGGGCAGCGAGTGGCCACTGGATGATGAAGTTTTAAGACATCAATTCCCGAGCATGGCTGACTTGGAACAGGTAAGGTGATAAGCCAGTCAGGAGGGACATCAAGGCCCCCGCTATCCCCAGTAAGGCCCCCCTTCTAAGAATACCCTTGTTCCTTGTCAGGCCTTGGGTTTTGTCCCCAACCGGGACAGGTCATGGTCAGTGTCACTGGCAATGAGTCAGGATGGCCCCCCAAAGGACTCCCATGTCTACCAGGGCCAGTGGTTGCAATTGGAATGGGGCAGGCATCTGTCTACTGCTCTTGTTTGGAGTTGTGGCATGTCAGCTGATGGCTCTGGGGGATCAGCGTTTAGACATGCTCTCCAACAAAGGCAAGCCAAGAGAGGTGCTAGCAGAGATCTGAACTCTGGGCCTCCCCTGGTGCAGAGGAGTAGCAATCGCAGTCAGAGGGGTCCCCCCATTTGCTTAGTCAGATCTACCTATTTCTGGCACCACGGTAGAATTGTGCAGATCTTTCCAGACGCCAGGAGTGGAAAGTACAAGGTGCCAGTGGGGCGAGATGCCTGTGAACCCAGAGCTTAGCACAGACAGTCACCCCTGCTTTGGGCATTTTGTGCCATCAAAGCCCAGCCCCCCCACCCCATTTGATCCTTGTCAGTATGTTTGAATTGGTCCGGGGCGGCGGCAATGCTTTCCATGGGTTTGCAGCTGGCAACTGGATTCACTGGATGACTCGGCATGTTTGGACAGTTTCGCACAATGGGCAATCCTGCAAAACGCAGAGAACACTTCTGATGGCTGCAGTCGGCGCATTTTACCAAGTCCCAAGACCAGCCAGTCAGCGGCATTGATCTCCCTGGTTAGCAGGCCTTCAAGGGAACTTACCAGAGATATCAACTGCTTAACTGCTTCCTGGCTGGCCATCCAGGCTTGCAGAAAACCTGGGATTCATTCAATGGATGATTTTTCAGGTTCCAAGCCCGTGGTAGGCAACCCAAGTCTGCAAAAACCGTTTGCGGTTCTGGTCGTTTTCCTTCGTTCTTTTCATTCCGACCTCCCCTCCCTGGCAAGTGCCTTCCTGGGGTTCCTGTCCGACTTTGTGAAATGATTTAGGAGGTGTAGCATAAGTGGGAGTCGCCCCATTCCGAGATCCGAGGCGATGAACCGCATCATGCCCTACTGCGGCGTGGCCTCTACGCGGCGCCAGCTCTTTGAGGACCTTTGGGGGGTTTTCGGATTTTGTTTTACACAAATCCGCTGCCGGGAAACCCGGGGGAGGGATTGGAGCACTAGGGGTCCTTTTCGGGTTGGTCGAAGGTAGATGGTTTCCGCTGGTGTTTGGTTGTGGGATGTGCAGCTCTTCGCGATGTCCGCGATGTACTGCTCTTCGCCCTACCCAAGTGTTGCCGCCATGAACCCCTACCCCCCGCATCCGGAAGTTTTCGGAGGATGCACTTTGTGGTTGCATGACAAATGCCTGGCCAGGGCAAGAGGGACTCGCTCTGAGTGAAGGGGATGCCCGGATGCCCCGTTTACTGTCGAACCCTGACGATTGAAATCAGATTCAACTGTGCGTTCTTGTTTCTGTCGGAAAGGACATGCCCGGGGCTCTGAGAGGAAACATCTTTCGCAGACGCATTAGCACCAGCTTTGGTAATTCAGCAGTTTTTTTGTTTTGCGAGGGGCGGGGGGGGGGGTGGGGAGGGACGCGTAGTTCTAGCGGGTCTTACCACAAATGGCCGAATCTCACAAGCGCTTTGAAATTAGTACAAGCAGCCAATTCTTCGCGTACTAGTTGGCAGTCGGTCGGGCAAACAAGCAGCGCCTGAAGCAAGTGGAGTCTGTTCATGGGTTGTTGACATTGCGCGATGAGGGTTGTGGCTGAAGGCTTTCTTTCCCACAACACGCCCACCCCATCCACCCAAGCGACCCTCGAATCCGGTTCTTTGTTTTCAGCCGAAGTTGATCCCAACATCTTGCTGTGAGCTGGGTGGTTTGCGAGAAAACATGTTGGGCTGTTGTGCTGCCGGCAACGTTTCCAGTCCCCCAATTGGGTGTGCTTTTGCTCCAGTGCCCCTTTTGGGCTTGCTTAGTTGTTGCCTCCCCGTTTGCGAACTCGAAGCCCACAGACTCTCCGCGGAACCTATTTCTTTTTACCCGGCCTCCGCCGGGTTTTACGACTGTGGAGGACCCCAAGACCTGGCGGCTTCAGGGAATGCTTCCCCAAAAGTAGGCCGAATCGCTGGGCTGTGGGCCAAAAAAGGGATTGCCCTGGTGGCCCTGACTTCTTAAGAGACCGTTTTGGTGGATTTGATCTTGGTTGGGATGGGTGCATCCGCCCAGCCCCATTTGGTGGTTTTTAGTTTGGTGCTTGGATCTCGGAGGGTCACTGGGGCCCGGCTAACCGATCTGGATTTTGAAAAGCCCATGGCCGTCTCCCGGTGGCGCTTGACGAGTTTTGGGACGACTCACCAGGCCTACCACCGCCGCTTCGGGGCGGAGCTCCACGGCGAGGCCCTGGAGCTCCTGCGCGCGCGCCCGAGGCCCCAAGCGAAGGGCAGTCAGGGGGGGGGGGGCGGAGCTGGCGGTGGGGGGGGAGCGGAAGGGTGGCCCTTTGTGGTTGATTTGGTTGAAAAATTGAGGGGTTTCGATTCCTGGTTTACGTGGTGGCTCCATCAACCACCAGGGAAACCCATCTATTTTCCCAAAAGGGACACCTACGGCGGTGGGGGGGTTCGAGGGGAGGGCCGAGGACTTTGCGAAAACGGGCCAACTGGAGCAATGGTCGGATGGAAGGCGGGGACCTTGCGGGAGATGCCCTTCCTTTCGAAAGTGCCACCAGTTTTTGAAAGGAGAGTTTCCAAAGGGGTCCATGCTTTTCAGCATCTTTTGGGGCTCATGAAGTGAAACAGGCCCTCATCATCCCCAGGGCCCGTGTCGTGCGATGGAAGCTGCATTCGACTTGGGGGCACCTGTTGAACACTCGGATCCGGAAGCTGAGAACGTGTAGCTTTTCGGATCCGGTCACCGGGGAACGGCATTGAAATCCGTCAGCCTGAAAAGTGGCATCCCGGTTTGCCTGATGGCTCTTGCAGGCCTCATCCATCGGCTTCTTGAAACCGTGGTGTGCGGGAAGGCGATGACTTGGACAAAGGCGATGTTTCGATCCCTGGTCGGGAGAGATCATGGTTGTCGTTTCTGGATGCGTGAAAGAACAAGTTTACCCTCCAGTCCACTAACATGGCCGACTGGGGGGGTCCTGGAAGACGATTTTCCTTTAGAATGTACCCTCCGGCTGATTCCGTGGCAGCGTGGACAGGGCAGCTCTCTTTTTGGGAGCGCCTTCTGCAAGCTTGCCCCCCGAGGTCAAAGATTGGCACAGCGGCCGGGGCCCCTGATTCACCTTACGGGTGCCTCACGGGTGCCTTTTGATCCCCCGCTTCGTTTCACTTTTGGAGAAGGGGTTGGAATTTCACTTGTTTTTTTTTCTAAAATCGGGACCTGCCCAAGACCAAATCACTGGCATTCGGAGACCGCCAAGGTGGGATATCATCTTTTGTGCGAATGTAAAGTGAGGGTTTTTGCAGTGCGGCGATGTTCAAGTACATGTTGAGAGAGAGTCTCAGCGGGAAGCCCAGCTGACACAAACCAAGGTCGTTTGCCGTCGGGAACGGGAAAGCAATTGGTATATTAGAGAGTCCCTGGCTTGTGTGGGACCCCATGTTCCTCCCAAATGGACCCTGCTGCCAAGAGATGGGCAAATTCGAGTCTTTCTTGGTTTGCGCGGATAAAAGGAGTGGCCCTCATGTCTCCAGCCCCCTGATGCCAGGGGATCTAAGTCTGGTCTGCGACGGGCGCCCGTGCGAAGCACTACATTGGCTTTGCCGAGCGGGGTCGCACAATGAGCATGTCGCACGTTTCTGCTCTCCCATTTGATTGTTCTAGATCGGGTTTCTCCCCCGCTGACGTGGGAGTTTGGCAAGAACCCCCGCCCATTTCAGAATGGTACGGTACTCTGATATGTGTTCCATGACGTTCCGTTGAAAACAGGTGGCCCACACTTGCCGTCAACTGACCCTTTGGTCGCCTCCCGCTCAGTCCCTGTAACCTTTTCCCTGTGTGTTGGCGACTCTGCACTAGTTTTTGTCATTGCAGAATTTACAGCGAACGGGCCAAAGAGACCTTCCTCCCCATTCCTTCTGCTGACCTGTGTAAACAGAGCCCATGAAGGGGGTCCTGCGAATGAGTTGCTCTGGGCAAGCTGTGTGTCTTCGCTTGGCGCTGGTCTCTGGATGCGACTGCAGCCAATTAAGGGCACGCGCCCCCCTATGCACCATGGCACAGAACGAGCCAAAGCTGAGGAGACTCTTGCACAAACCAACTTGTTTGATGCCACGCAGGTGAGACACCTTACCAAGCATGTAACGTACAAAGGGGCAGTGATGAGGAACAGATCCAACATGTATTCTCTGCGTCCGCGAACCGCATGGCCGCATGGGTTCTCGGCCCTAAGACGCCGAACGCAGCAACCACGACCACCCAGCAAGGCAGCGAAACAGAAACAACTCAGCCTGCCGTGGAAGACTTCGGCTTGCGGCCAGGGAGCATCTGTTTTTTAGTGGCATGCAGCCATGGCGGTCATTGGCCCCGCCCCGCTGCTGAGACACGATGCCAGCGGAGGCCCGCCTTTGTCCGGCAAGCGGGTTCACTGGGTTTGGGGCAAGCTGTTCTTATTGGTGTCCACTTTGGGTTTGTTCACTTTGCCAGGGTAAGCAAAGGCAGTCCCACTTTGATTGAAGTATTTGTGGGCGCGCGGTGGGGTTACAACCCCTAGACAGCAGAACAAAACATGGTAATTAGCCGGGTTTTAGTGCTTTCGGAGGCGTTACTGTCCAAAGAACAACTCTTTTTTTGAGTCTTTGCGTGGGGTGCCCAGGAGACCTTTCAAACAGGAACAACCAGTTAATCACCTCTTCATGTCTTGCGCACTCAAGACTATTTTCATTCAGGTGGGTTAAGGAGAGCATATCGAACGACAGTGCCCCCGGCCACCAATTTGTCGCTTTCAGCAAACCAGTAACGCCACTGCTGTTCGTGGATATGATTTGCTGTGCATTCGTCGTTGCCAAGCATGCTTGCATGGCCCCACCAGCCCCACCAGCCATCCAAACTCTGGGTTCCGGCTAGTGACCTTTTCACTGGACTGAGAGAAAGGGCCCGCCTGCGGGTAGAGTGACTGATGTAGTCACTCACGCTCAGCCCCCTCCAAGCTTTTGCTGGTAGGCTTTTGCCCCGTCACTATGATGAAGAGACCAAAAACAGTCCAAGGCGTTCGAAACAAACTGGCTGCGATGAGGACTGGCGCCTGAACGGCAGAAAATTCAACTGTCGAGATCATTAGATTGGGAGTGGAAACTCCACCGCGCTTATTTGTGCTAGACCGCGGCACTCCTGGAATTTTCAGAGCCCCTAGATAGGTACGTTTGTGACTGCTTGCAAAACGTCTCACCCAAATCGTCTCGCCCAAGCCAGAATTCCAGATTACCCTCCCACCAATCAACACGGAGCCTGAGGGTCCAAACCAGGACCCCCGAACGTCAGGTCGCCAGATTCTTCGACATCGAACTCCCAAAGCCTGCCTTAGGCCTGCAGATCCAGGAGGAGGGCCTCACGGTGCTGCGCCGGGTTTCTTGCCTCAGTCGGGTCAGGGTGGTAGGCTGCAATAATTTTTGGGTTGCGTTGGAACAAATCGGGTTGCAGTTTTCTTCCAATATCCCCGGTGGAGTGAAAGGGACGATTGGGGGGGGGGGTTGACATTAAACATGGTTTTTTGGTTCAGAACAGGGGGATTGCGGCAGTGCATTTTTCATTTCATCTTTTCCCAGCTGCATTCCAGTGTTTCCAAAAAGCCAGACAATCTCGAACAAACCCAAAAACCACAACAACCGAAAGCAATTTTCTCTGACAGTCTTTCCATTGGCTGTAGCCTGCCCAAAAACCAAACAACAAACAAGCAATAAAGAACCAACAAGCAACAACAACACAAGACAAAGAGCAAAAAAGACAATCCTCCGACACCCTTTCTAGAAGTATCCTGTCACTGTGCCAAGAGTTCTGGGAGATAGTTTCTTTTGTGTGTGTTCTTTGGGTTTCTCATTTTCGGCAGGGCTGATCCAGTCTTTTATCCTTTTTGGTGCAAGGACATCCTACTGCAAAAAGTCCAGTTTAAGATGGACATTCGAGTTGAACTCTACTTACACAATGGTGTTTTAATTACACCTGATGTGTAAAAAAGTTCTATTGAACAGGACGTCCTGTATAAAGTTTAATTTGAAACGGAATTATCCTTACTCAAAGTGAAATTTAAGATGGACAATTTCTTGTGTGTGAATTATTTCCTGATCAAATTCTATTTAAACTCTAATTGAACTGTAAAGTTCTTTTTGGCAAGGAATTCTATGTAGATTCCAAATCTAAGATAGGATTTCCACCAGGATTCGGAATAAGCATTTCCTTACTGAGTCCTATTGAAACTCCGTTCAAATCTCAATTGCATCTTAGAGAGCGGCCGTTGGTGAAAATGTGAAATCAGTACAACAACCGTCACAAAGCAGTGCTTTGCAGCGTTTTCTGACCATGGCAGCGCTGGGGGCCAGGTAAAAAACATAATTTTGAACTCCGTATGAAACTCTACTTAATATCTTTATCAAGTTCTGCTCAATTTCATTTAGGGCAAACAAGAACAGTATGCAACCATAAGTTCTTGTCCATATTGGAATTTAAACAATACTTGTTCTATGTCAGATTCAATTTTACACACCACACAGGATGTCCTTTCCAATTATTTGTTCTTTACAAATCAGGTAACGCTTAACACAAGTCATTCAAATGTAGGACCTCTGAGTTCTTTCCTTATGAAACTCTACTTGGTTTCTGTTTTCAAACCTTAGCCAATGTCTAACTAAATTTATATAGACTTTAAAAAGGGACACAATCCAATCACAATTTCCATTGACGTCAGACTTTCAACAATACGTACTGTATTGCAATTTAGCATTTATACAGGATGTCCTTTCCGACGCAATCTTCTTTGCACATCAGTCCCAACTTGAACACACTTTTATCCAACAGGAGCTCGACATAAGCAACACATGTGCAAACAGCAAATACAGACTTGCATGCACAAGCAGATCAGCATAAAGCAAAAAACAACAAACGCACAGTCCCCCGCCGTTCTTTTTCACAACTTTTGCCAAAAGCGCCAAAAGCGTATGGCCCCCAAAAAGTGTAGATTGATTCTCGGAGGTATGTTGAATTGGCAACAGCGCCACGCGGGACAACGATTGGCTTTTGATCCACTTGTTGGGAAACTACAAGGTCCCAGGCTGTTAAAAAAACCTGGAGGCGAAAGGTGCGTCACACGTGTTGTCCCCTGGCTGAAATTTGCGTTTTGTCGCCTTTGGCTCATGCTTGGAAGTGAAACGGGATAGTTAGGACAGCATTGTTTTTTTGGCATAGATGGCCTAAAGCCCAAGGTTTTTGCATAGTTGCAGTTTAATTGCTCGAGCACATCAGCATCAACAAGCCGCAGTCAAAGCACGGCAGGCATCCTGCTCCATGGGAGGCCGAGACAAACCCAAACGGAGCTATGCACGCAAAAACCATCAGAGTGAAGCTGAGTTGGTACATAGTGCGACGATGGCCACCATCTATACATTGAGCCCCTAAGCGCGCGGGTGGTTTGCGTGCTCCTCTCGTGGCAGAGAGGCGCTAGCAAGTTCATGCTTGCTGGGATGGACATGTTGCTCTCCAACCGCTTTCTGCCAACACCTGCAACCAACTTTGGCCATGCATCAACCGTGTGCACTGGCATGTGTGTTCCTGTGCGTGCAAGCCTTTCGTAACGACGGTGGCATGCCCCCCACCCCTCCTCCCCCCCTGCTCCTTTAGCCCTACTCTCACCTGCAACTCAGCACATCGCAAACAACAAGAAAAACATAGGTTTTTTTGCCAGCCAGTTTCCAACTAAAAGGGCCCCCAGAGGGTGTAGATTTCCCTTTGTTTTCCGTCGGTCTGAAGGCAATGCTTGTTTGGGTACGGGTCCAAGCGCGGGACCCCCTGAACCATCTTTGAGCATAGCTACACGGAAGTCACCGGTTTTGGGGGTCCCTAGTCACGCAAAAGCTGGGTACAAAACCCAAAAGTGTTGGACTCTCGCAAAATCTGTTCGGATTCTTGTTTCAGTCCAATTCTAAATGCCGGGGGGAGGGTGGGGCGCCCGCGGTCCCTTCTGATTTGCTTGCTTTTCCACTCTTCTCCTCCCTGCTCTGTGCTCCGCTCTCAGCTCTGCTTCTCTTACTTGTGCAGACAAATGTGCTTTTGCGCGGCAGGAGCTCGACTCCTGCTGTTGGTGGTATGCTTTGCCACCGGTTTGGCAGTGCCATGATGAGATTCCTGGCAAGTGTTGGGTACAGGGAATTTCACCGAGGTAGGTGCGCCGCTGCACGTGGTCTTCACGATCGGCGGCAGCCGCTGTGGCAAGAGCACAGTGTGCAACGCGCTGCTGCACGGGCAAGATGCCGTGGGCAGGCGGGGGTGGACATCGTCGCCAGTCGCGTTCCTCTCAAAACAGGGTCGCTGACATGAACCTGACAGAAGGCAGCGGGTGGATCCCTCTACGACATCCTTATGGGTTGCTTCAAGCTTCCCAGTCTAGATTTTGAGTCCCCGCAAAATATCTATAATCTATCCTTTTTCGGGGGAACCTCGCATTTTTGCGACACATCCATACTCCCATCCATCCGTTCACACCCATTCCTCCCTCCGTCCATAGGCAGGGCTTCCAGACGGGGAGCTCCTTCGATCCTGTGACCCACGGGGTGGACGTGGCGGCCAAGAAGCTGCCGGGGGGCGGGTCCCTGGTGCTCGCGGACTGCCCGGGTCCCCGGTTTTCAGCGCCCACCCGCGGGATGGGACAGGACGGGGACGGGGTTTGGCCCGCCCTTTGGGCTCTGTGTCGCGAAGGGCCAGTTTTTATTACTGTTGCTAGTGTCATATAAGTTTTTTCTTTTTTTTTTTTGGGGGGGGGCGCCCCTAACCCAAAAGTGGACAGAATGGAGGTCATGAAACAGGCTGGGATTCAAAAGTAGGCTTCCCGGGCCGAAAAACGGCCGTCAAAAACGAGGACGCCGCGATGAGTCCGCACCTGGCTGGTTTCTTGGGATGGTCAAATGAGCACGGGTCGGGCGATTTTCCGAGCAAAGGAAAGGGTTTGGGAGATGTCCAAGCCATAGATTTGGCAGTTTCTGGTTGACTTGAACTAGCTAGTGGTTGGAAGGGAGCCAAGGAGCTAGGGTACCCAAATTAGCCTTGAAAGAGGGAGCTAAGGAGAACCCGATCGGAGTTCTGCAAGGACATGGAGTGGTCGAGGGATGGTTCACTTGTGCCACCATCCCATTTTATTTTTATTTCTATTATTAAAAAAAAAAAAAAAAACGGAAAAACAACAAAAAACGCAAACCCGAGTTCTCGCCATGGCGAATTTCGCAGGCGAGGGCGCCTTCCACATCTGCGGGTCCACGATGAGCGCCCGGGGCTTCGGCTCTGTGGGGCTGCTGGCGTATCACCTCAGCTCCTCGATGTTCGAATTTGCTTTGTGGGTGTTGGGGGCAAACATCGATCGGTTCCTCGGAGTTTGTTTTGGGCTCCTCGGAGTTTTTTTTTTGGGGGGGTTTTTGGGGTTCCTCGGATTTTTTTTGGTTCTGGGAAAAAGTCAGGTCGCCCTCAGTGGGAGGTTTGGATCGGTGCTTTGGATTTACATTTGAAGCCCTGGCCTTAGGGGGCTGGGTCTGCTGAGTGTGTGTGTGTGTGTGTGTGCTTTTTGTGGCCTCAACAAGGCAGAAAAGGGCAAATGAAGATGAGTGTGATCAAAGTAAGTCATGACTGCAATGACCAATTATTTCGGTTTATGTCGCGTGCCATGCGAGCGGAGCCGAGAGCGAGTCCGCGTTCACTGCCCAGGCTCTGTGGTGGTGCACGTGACCATGGGAAGCATTGACGAGCAGCTTGCTTGCCTTACCGCGCATGTGCTCACAGCGCCCAAAGCCGTTTCGTCGCGGCCGTTGTCGTGGGTGGCTCCACTGGCTTCATAACGGGTATCAACATTTTAATGGGTGGCAGGCACCGCCCGTGCACGAGGTGTTTTTTTTGCAGACGGAATATTCCTGGTTGACTCCAGAGAGGGGTTCAATGGAAGCCACCAGTAAATGGATCAAGAGGTTCCAGGGGTTGATCCCCCATTCTTTTCAGCCATCGGTCTTTTTCAAAGACCGATCGCCATTTCCCCCAGGGTTTTTGGGTTTCTAGAAAGATCCGGATCCCTGGAAAGAATGGAAATGGAAGTTACCCCTGTGGTTGGAAATCCCAGTGCTGCCTCCTGTGCCCGCGGCTCCCTCCTCCTCCTCCCCAGGCGCGACATCGAGGCGCTGGGGCACCTGGCAGCCACGGCGCCGGAGACGGAGCGCCGCGCCCGGAAGCGGAAGCGTCGCGCGCGCACAGAATTATCGAGGGGACGCGTTGCCCATTCGTTCGAGGGATCCGGATCTTTCCAGAAAGCCGTCAGAACCCCAGGGGAAAAAGCAGCTGGCTTGGAAAAGAACGATGGTTGAAAAGAATGGGGAATCAACCCCTAGAAAACCAAAACTTGCAGCTGCGATCGGCAGGGTAAATAGAATCAAGGATTCTTTGGTTTGCAGCAACTTGTTGCGTTAGTTGGATTGCAGTTGGCTCAATTGGGTTTGTTGCAATAGTTAGGTGACTTCGGTGGATTCGCTGGGCTTGTTGCTTTGGGTTAGTTGGGTTGAACGACTTCGGATTGCGGAGGACCCAAAGGTCAGAACGCCCTATAGATCATGTCCAAATAGGCGAGAAGCACCGCTGATTCGTAATGCATTACTTGGGCTTTTTGGATGGTTGGAGGTCGCACGGTGTCGGTGATGGGTGCCCAGTTGAGAAAGCCTTAGCAATCATCTAAGATCACTTTTGGGGGGAGTTCACCCCCTTTTTTTATCCACCACCTTCATCAATTTGTAGACATAAGGTGCTGGCGCCCTTTCGGCGGCGGCTTCTCAGTTGATAGAGCCTTGTTTTGTTTGTTGTTGTTTTTTTGCGGGAATCTCTAGGTTCCAATGCCTTGTGGTTTCGTTGGGGATCTTCTTTCGGCTCATTCCCAAACCCCATGTTGATTTTGTGCTGAGAACCAAGCAAGCAAAGGTACCACATGGCGCCTTGGCAAATGGAAGCAAAGACTAAAGTTCTTTGGTTTGCAGTAGCTCTAGGAGATTTTGAGCCACAGGATTGTGTTAGTTGGATTACATTGGCTTAGTTCGGTTTGTTGGTTGGTTGGGTTAGTTCAGAGAACCCTCTATAGATGTCCAAAACGGCGAGAAGCGCCCCTGATTCGTAAGGGCACCGAATAAATCCGAACACAACATGAGTTACACAACATGAGTTGGGTTTGTTGGATGGTTGGATGGGCGGTTGGTCGCAAAGAGTGGGTTATGGGTGCCCAGTTGATAAAGCCTGACCAATCATCCAAGATCACTTTTTCGCCCCCTGTTATGCACCAGCCCTGAGCGGCTTCAGAGCCAGAGCTTCAACTTGTTTCTTCCATGGCTGTGACTATTTCGCATATGTCAAGTCGAAAAAGTCTGCCCTTTCGGCTGACCCGCTGGTTGCTTTGAGGATTGGAGCCCAACACGGCCGCGAGTTGTGCCGTAAAATGCGGACGAGGTTCCCCCCCGTTTTTCTTAAGCCCCTGATTCTAGGACCCTTTTTTGTGCAGCTCCCAGAAACACGAGCGGTTTCGCCATGCTTCTTGATTTCCTTTTTGTTGCCCTTTGAACCCCATAGAAACACATAGGGTGTTGAAGCCGAGCATGTCCAGCACCCTCAACAATGGCCTCACTTTTTGTTGCCCTCCCCCTCTCCACCCTCCCAAACGCCTTGTCTGTGGGCCCAAAGGGCCCAAGGGCCGAAACCGAGGCCGCCCAACGGGTCCCCAGAGCTGCTGCTGCTGGTGAATGGCGCTCGCTTCGAGCTGGGCACCTTGGCGTTCGCTTTTGAGGAGGTTTTATTTTTTTTTCTGCAACAGCTGCAAGATTTGGGGTCTCAGCCCAGATAGGGTTCGGGGTGGTCCGGGGCGGCCCTGAGGTAAGTTTCCACGACAGTTCCACCAGGGTTCCACCTGAGCTTATTTTTTGTGGGAACGGGGGGAGGGGGTTGGTAGGCGTTTTGCGATTCAGCGGTGTTGTCAACAGCCTCCTTGTGGTTCCTCTTCGAATCTGCGAAGGCAGGGCCTGCATGTGTCAGCCCAAGCCTGGAGAAGTTCAGGTGTCAAATCGCTGCAAGATGGTTCAGCCATCAACGTTTAAACCACTATTGTTTGAGCAAGCTCCGTTTGGTTTCCCTGGAGAGGGGCTGAGCCGTGAACGTGAATCCGGAAGCTGACAAAAACGTGGCGCCGCTTGCAGGTTCTCTCCGATCTTCCGAGCCTTGAAACAAATGAGCGAACAACTGGAGTAGAAGATTGGCTCGGCTTTCCTCAGTTTCCCTCCGGCCAAGGTTCTATTCCGGGTTGTTTTGGAGCACTGAGATAGTAGATACATGGATTTGACTTCCACCCCCCCTGAAAAAAGTGGGCCACCTAAGTGACCCGTCGGGACCCTTTCTGGAAACATTCATTTGCATACCGAACTGCAGGAGGAATTTGGATTGCTTAGTTTGTCGGGCTCCTAATGGAGGCGCTGTGTTGTAAACGCATTGCTTGGCCACATGTTTGCCCCGTTTGGGTCGGCGCCCTATGGTGGTGTGTTGAACACCCGAGAGCGGGCTGTGACATGGTACCTAAGGCCTAGGCCAGTTTCACGGCAGATAGCCCGACTCGAAAAGACACCTTATTCAGAATTTGCGCCTGGCTTCAAAGTTGTTGGCTTGGAAACACCTTCGGCTAAACACCCCCGCCACCCCGTTGTTCTCAAACTCCTCCCCACAGTGCCATTTGGATGACCAGCCCGGTTTGTGCGGATAGGCGGCTTGGGATATGCCGACCACGGATATTTACTCATCCACTAGCAGTGAACTCCACTTGGAAGATCATATCGGTGGTGGTTTGCTGGCATCCCATCATAGACTTTTGAGTGGGCAGAGCTCAAGCTTCCGCTTAGTGTGTTCTCACGGGATAGAGAGCTCGATCACATCAGAACTCATAGGAGCAGAGCAAACAGAAAGAATAATCCCCCTTTTGGCGTTGAACCATCCATGATGGTTTCCACTACCACGAAGCTACACCCGCTCAAGATGGGCCTTATGCTCTGCATGCAGTGGCTCCATATTGGTTGAATATTTCTGTTTATGAGTACACACAAGCAACAATCTACATATATATACATATACAAACAGATACATATACATGTGTATATAGTAGATACAAAAATGAGTCAAGCAAAAAAGCACCTACCTACCTACCTACATACCTACCTACCTACCTACCTACCTACCTGCATGCATTACTTACATGCATGCATGCATGCATGCATGCATGCATGCATGCATAACTAAATGCTTAAATCAATCAATTGATAATTAATTATTGTCACTTACATAAAGATTTGACAAAACACCGTAAATGGATAGGTCAATGCATAAATAAATGCATACATCACATAAACACATAGATACATAAATATGAGTAAACAAGCAAACAAGCAACCACATGCATTAATATTTTGGCATATCCCATTAAGGCCGTGGGGTTAGCGGCCATCTTTCTAGGGCTTGATTCCCCATTCTTTTCAACCATCGCTCTTTTTCAAAGACCGGCTGTTTCCCCTGGTTTTTGAGGGTTTGCATGAAAAGATTCGGATCCCTGGAAAGAATGGAAATGGAAGTTACCCCTGTGGTTGGAAATCAGTGCTGCCTGTGACCGCGGCTCCCTCCTCCCCCTCCTCCTAGAATCTTCGGAATCTTCGGAATCCCAGGTGACGCGGTGGCCCGGCGGCTCCTGCAGCCCCAGCCCGGCGCGGGGCGGACGTGCGCCCGGGGCGCCATCGCCGCCGCCTTCCGCGCCTCGCCCTTCCCGAGAACGGCCCTCCTGGTTTGGACCAGGGTCCTTTTAAAGGGACCGGGTCGCGAACGTCGGGTTCCAACGTTGGGTTCCAGGTTCATTGGTGGAAGGGCACTTGGTTTGGGACACTTTAAGGTAGATGTGGGTCCAAAATGGGCAGTTGTTGTAGTGTTTTTCCTGCAGAGCCACAAGAAAGGGGTACCTTCAAACAAATGACATACCCACATTTTAGACACACCCTTTAGGGTCCACCTTGAAGTTTTTGAGGGGACCGCGGGCAAGTAGAGTAAATGCTCGTTTTGTGCATGTTTGGGAACATGCTCTTCGCGTCTTGGTTTGTTTGTATGCTGGTTGGTGTTGTTTCGCGCTTGTTTGACTCGTGTCTGTTTCTTTCTTGTCGTTTTTATAGCAAGGTGAGGTTGTCAAAGGATAGGTCTTCGTGTGGCTGCTTTGGGTCTTGGTTTGTGGCAAAGCGATTGACTTGGCCACCTTTGCGTATGTTTTTGTTTGTAACACGTGGCTTTAAAGGGAAGCCAAAGGGGCGCCCTACAAGCAGGGCACACATCGAGACCTTGATTTGCCCGCGAAGTCGAGGCGAGCGCCCGGCTTTGGAAGCACTGCCCTGCTGCGAGCACGACGCCTACTGGCCCAAGGTGCGCGCGAGCAAGGGGGAGGGGGGGGGGGATTTTCACTGACTCAGCCGCCCAGAGGCAACCGTTTTATGCCTTTGTTTCCTCTTTTCGGCCTAGTTTTAGTCTAGGCTCCCAAAAGTGGGAGGTTCACGAAATTTGGGCTAAACTCTGTTGTTTGGAGGTGAATGCCGCATGCGGATTGAGCATTGCACCGGCACGTCCTTGTCGGGAACCACCCGCTGCCCCGAGCATTTGGCCGTATCACGAGCATCCTTCTCACCAAACGACCTGGGCAACGGAGTGTGCGCGCCGGGAGGGCTGTTTGGGTTTCTACTTAAACTTGTACAACGGACTTAAGCCTTGCGGAGGTCCCAAGGGATGTTTTTTTTTCCAGGTGGAGGAGTTGCGGCGGCGGATCCTGTCGGTGCCGGCGGTGGCACAAGGCATGGGAAAGGCGCCAGATTGAGGGGCGAGCAGGGGAGGTGCACAGGGGAAAAAAGGCATCAGCCTTTGGCTTGGGTTGCCGTCGCAAAAGGTCTAGCGTTGTGAGCCTCCTCTTTCCCTCCCTTTCCTTCAAGGTCCAACGCTCCGGTTTTCCAGAAGTGAATGGTGCTGTCTACTTTCACCCCTGTGTGACATTAAACCCCTGCCCCGGGAATTCTTCCCTTTTTGGAAAGCGCACCTCTCTGCCTTTTGACTGCAGGGTCGGAACCTGGACGTTCGGGGGGTCCTGCTTGGACCAGTCTCCTTTTCATTGGACTCTCGAAGGTCAGGTTCCAGGTTAATTGGTGGGGAGTGTCTTTTGACCCTGTTGTGAGTGGTCCATCCGCAGAGTGGGCTGGCCACTGAGAGGCCTCGGGGAGCCAGTTGGCGGAACGCCTGGAGCGGCTCGTGGCGGCCATGTCTGGGAATACAGGCGACGTTATTGGCTTTTGGGGCGGTGGGGGTTCGGGGTTGAGGGTTTGAATCAGCCACAACGCCTTTTGCACCCTCCTGTTTGGAGTCTCTGTGTCTTGCTTTGCGGCAGGGTGTCTAAAGCCAAGTGGCCCTTTTGGAAGCTCAGGGCCCATCTTACTAATGAGGTGAACGTGCAAAGGACCAGTTGCCGCGGACTCCCAGCGCGTCTTCAACGATGATGGTCAAGTAATGATGGTTTGATCGTGTTCGAATAGGCGGTTTGGCGCTTGGGTCGGGCTCGAAAATGGCGAGCCTCTCATGACCCATCACTTTGTGGGGGTGACGCGCCAGGCCCGGCGACTGACCCAGTGTCCGCGGCTGAGCAGGCCATGCGGAGCTTGCACTTGGACCCCCTGGTGGAGGTCGCGGATGGGGGTGGGGAAGGGGTGGGAAGGCTGGAGGAGTTTGAGGGTGGGGGGCTTGGGCAGTAGTGGGGGTCGGGGGGGTTTGGGGGCGCCTTCCTGTTTTCTGTGAGGGATCGGTGCGGGGTGCAAGATGTTGGACTGGCTAGTGCTACCTAATGTTCGGCCCAAGCAGGAGAGATGTGCCCTCTTGAAAACATGCGTTCGCAGGTTCGAACTAGGCCAGGGCTTTTCGTGTTCTCTTCCCATTCCAGTCCGGGCAGTCTTCTAAAATCGTGTGAATATGATGATTGATGTGATTTGTAGGAGTTGCTGTTTTCGTGTATGCTGGATGTATTTGATTGGAATTCAGCGTTCGGTAAAGGGGATGACTGCAGGGCCCTCATCTGCGCAGGAGATAGCCAAGAAGTTCACAGCAGCCGCGAGCAGCGTGCGGGAGGCAAGGAATAGCTTTGGTCAAAATTAGTGGAGGGATGCTCCTAAGTGTGCAAGCCAAAATGGGGCCGGGGGGGGGGGAACGGAGGCTAGTCACCCATTTTTTTCGGGGTTCCATCTAAACAGAGGGGCGGGGGGTGGCTGGTCTCTCCAGTTTGCCACTCGAAGCCCTGGATAAGAGACTTTCTCTGGGTGGAATGTAGGGCAAGTCCTGACTGAAGAGCTCATCAGCTGTCAGAGCTTGGCTGCTCCTCAGCAAGCCCACGCTCTCATGAGATGGGATCCCCTATAGCTTGCGATCCGACCAGCAACTAACATAGCTTGGTGCAAGGACTTGCTCTCTTCTTCTTTTCTTTTTTTTGGGGGGGGGGGTAGATTCACATGGATTCTTCCTCGAAGCCCTGGCTTGAGGGATCCATCTGCTTTGGGCAATGCGAGGGGCCAGTGGTCAGGAGCCCGGCAGCCCCAGCAGTCCCGGCAGCCAGTGCGACCAGGACGCCCTCGCAGTCGAGGAGGCGGAGGGACCTTAGGTCGAGGACGCTTTTTCGCGCTGTTTGACACGGCTTGTTTAGAAGAATGCATGACAACGGGGGGTTCAAAACATCTTCTTCTGCTTCTTCTTCTTGTTTGGTCCGCAACCTTCTTGGAGCGCCCCCTCCCCACCCCCACCCCAGCACCCAGCGGAGTTCAGAGAGAGGTTTCTTCTTGCAAGCAGGTTTCAGAGGTTGATTGTGGGGGCGCATTGGACCCTGCACCTGGTCAGGCTTTCATTCGGCCCATACTTCGGTGTTGCTACCAAAGCGATGGAAATCTCTCTCTCTCTCTCTCCCTCTCTCTCTCTCTCTCTCTCTCTCTCTCTCTCTCTCTCTCTCTCTCTCTCTCTCTCTCTCTCTCTCTCTCTCTCTCTCTCTCTCTCTCTCTCTCTCTCTCTCTTGTCAAATATCATGCTGTACTACTTGTCCCTTGTACATGCATGATGTACACTACTCGACCGCAGGCCTTGAGTCTACAAGCAAAAGAGCGCATGCTGGAAACTACATTTGTGTTTGTGACAACATAAACAACACTTGCACTTGTAGTAAAGTAACGACGTATTTTAACGTGGTAGCGGAGCTGAGATCCTAAACATAGGGGAGCTCCAGTAACAGCAGTAAGTACTACAACTGCACAGGCAACCACATGCCCAACTACTACGACATGTCAGGAGAACCAGCAGCAGCATCAGCACAACCAACTACAGGAGCAGACAACGGGCCCACAGCAGAGGAGACAATAGGAGCCACAACTACGGGAACAACACAGGAGCAGGAAGACGTCCAAAGGCTACACAAATACAAACTGCCACCACCGTTCTTCACTGGTGACTACTCACAGTACGAAGAGTGGCTGTTCAAACTACAAGCATACCTCGGACTCATCGACCGAGACTTCGACATGGTACTACAACTAGCACAAGCAGCTACAAGACAAATTGAAGATGCAGACATCAGAGCCCACATACGCGACCCTACACAGGCAGCAAAAGCAGTAGACCTCTCACGAGATCTACACTACATCCTCATCAACATCTGCCAAGGTGCAGCAGCTACAGTGGTCAGACAAAACCGCTACAATGCCAATGGATGTGAAACACTACGGCTTTTGCACAACAGGTTCAGCCTACCAGTAGGAACACGCAGTGTTGGCTACCTCACCAAACTACTGGAACCTACATTCAATGAAGCACAATTTGAAGAACAATTCCTACAGTGGGAGTATGACATCAACCGCTACGAGAAAGACAACGGCACAGCACTACCAGATGGAGTGAAGATTGCAATACTACTCAACAAGACCAAAGGAGCGCTTCAACAACATCTCCAACTACGTGCTGGACAGATCACGAACTACAACGAGATCAGAGTTGTGATTCTGGACTACTACAAGACCATATCTGCATTCTCAAGAGCGAGCTCAGCGGTTGGCACAAAGTACAATGGTGGAACAGCACCCATGGACGTGGACAACATTTGGAGGAAAGGAAGAAACTACAAAGGCAAAAGCAAATATGGAGGCAAAGGATCCTACAAAGGAAACAAAGGAAAAGGCAAGTACAGAAACAAAGGCCACTACAAAGGATTCGACAAAGGCAGCAAAGGAAACTACAACAAAGGAGGATACAACAAGAGCAAAGGAAGACTGCAGAGTGCCAGTATGGCACATAGGAGAAGGAGAAGAACTACATCCACTAGAACAAGAACGAGCAGATCATGACAACAATGAAGAACTACGAAGGAGAAGAAGGACAACACGAGGTGAACTACATGGAGGAGAACTGGAACGACTACGACTATGACAACAGCTGGGATTGGAATGACAACAGCTCTGAGGACACAGCAAACTACATTGGAGGCATCAACGAGTCACACCTCACCATTGGACACATCAGACAAGCAAACTCACGACTACACAAGCACAAATCCAAATCACTACTTGGCAAGAGAGCAACACACACACAACATCATGGAACGACCACAGCAAGAGCTTTCAACAATTCCTACAAGAAGACAACACACAGCCACACTTTGACATAGCATCAGCAAGACAACAACAAAGGAACAAGAAGATTAAGGACAGTATCACACACTACATCATGTACTCCAACTTCAAGTCATACCACCACCTGTTGATCGACTCAGGAGCATCTACACATGTTTGCCCGAAGGACTACGCACCAGACCTACCGCTACGACCTTGTGGAGAATCGGTTCCACAACTCTACACGGTTACAACAAGAAGATTCCTGTCTACGGCATCAAGTACGTTCCCTACAAGCAGGACAACTTCAGGATCATGATACCCTACTACGTTTGTGATGTGAAGTATCCAATCCTCAGTGCATCAAGACTACTTGATAGAGGATATGGACTTGACTTCACTCCACGACACTGTACCATCACACATGGACAACAACAAGCACACCTCATAAGACACTCAGGACTTTTCTACCTACGAGCAGAGAAGATCGACATCCCTACAGGATTCGACATCTACCCAATGACTACAGACAATGGAAAATCCATTGCTGTGATTCAACCTACAGAGAAAACAGTAAAACAACAAGAACAAATTGCACGACTCACCCACACAGACCAAGGACTACGACAGATCCTTGGTGGAAACACTGACTACTGGAAACTTGATGGTGACTACGCCATTAGAGTACACAAACGACCGCGCAAAGCATTATTCACACCACACAACAGCGGTTGCCCAATACCTGAAGGAGAACTAGATGATTGGCGACTAACCATCATCAACAGACAAGGGCAAGAGCAAGAACAACTACAAGAGAACCCAACACAACTTTCCAAGCAAGAACTACAACGAAGACTAGAAGGTGACAACTGGACTGGAGAAACCAGATTCAGAAGAAAGATAACACCTACACGCAGAGCAACATCAAAGACCACACCAACAAGGCAGAGCTCACAACCACAACGGCTAATGGACACACCACCAACCAGATCAAAGATCCAACTACGAGCACCACAAAAGATATGGAGACCCAAAGCAGCACCTTCTACAAATCTTGACACCGCACAACCAAAGGAGACAATCCACAGACCACTCACAGCACAGGAGGACAACCAAGACTACTGGAAAAGACAAGGTGAATACTGGATAAGACACCACACAACACTTAGAACAACTCTATTCACTCCAACAGATGGACCAGGACATCCACCAATCAGCACACTTGAGCCTCACAGAACTACAATCACTCACAACCACTTTGGAGAAGTTTCGCAACGCAAAGATGACTGGACAGTCATAGGCAACGCAGCACTACCGTTTCAATGGAAAGGAACAACAAGGTTCACCGTGAAGAAAGACTACGAGTACATCTAGGAGAACCACGATGAGGAACAACAACACGAGCATCATGAAGCACACAGAGCAATAGGACTACGACAACCGCAGCAGCCCACTCCACAGCAAATAGCAGAACACAACTTGACACACCTACCATACAGAAATTGGTGTCCAATTTGCGTTCAGGGCAAAGGACGCCAGGACAACTACAAGAAACAACAATCACGGCAACCTATCATCCAAGTGGATTTTGCCTACATCAAATCAAGATCCGAAGACCATACCAGTCTTAACAGCAGTTGATGTTACTACACAACTGTGCATGGCGGTATTGGTTCCGGACAAACCACCAATGATGGACTACATGATCAACAACCTACAAGCATTCATCTTTGAACGCGGAAGAACACAAGGCATACTACAAAGCGACAACGAAGACACACTCAATGCACTACTAAAAGCAACAGCATCTAAAGTCGGCTCAATGACTGTACGACATTCACCATCCTACAGCAGCAACAGTCAAGGAAGCGTTGAGTGACTACATAGAACACTTCTCGGACAAATCCGCGTCGTCAAAGCTCAGGTTGAAAGCAACTACAGCATGACGATGTCCACAAAGCACTGTCTACTACCTTGGATAGTACGACATGCAGCATGGACGGTAAATCGCTACGTCATTCACTCAGACGGCTACACAAGCTTTGAACGCCGCTGGGGAAGAAACTACGAGCGAGCAATCTGCGAATTTGGCGAGACACTACTTTACCTTCCACCACAACACAAGAAACTTCCAAAAGCAGACCTACGGATGCAGAAATGCATCTGGCTCGGAAAAGTTTCCGAAACCGGAGAAAACTACGTCGCAACGGAATCAGGCGTACAAAAGGTACGAACAGTACGGAGACTACAACCGGACTTCAAATACGACCTCGCACTGTTGAACAAAGTTTCCGGCACACCATGGGCACCACGACGGAACACCTACAACCCATCGTTCGCAACACTGTTGGATACGCAACTACAACCGTCAGAGAAAAGAAGGTCCACGCAAGATTTCGGACAACAAACGAACGCTACGGACGACATCGTTGCGGAACCCGCAACAAAACAACAACGCACTACACCACCTCCACGACTTCCGTCAACATCGACGTCAAGTTCACGACCACTACCGGATAGTCCGATGGCTACTTCACCAACCGGACGACAACATCCACCACTACCAGCACCACCTCGACAAGCACTACGACGTTTAACTCCGGAAGAAGTAATGCAACCAACTAAAGCACAGAAGACCTCAAAGGACACTACAATCAGATCAACGGAGCAAGCAACCAAAGAACCACCACCACTACGACAGACAATCAACGCAGTCACACTTCCCAACGGAAAATCCATCACCCCCTACACAAACGACGACACCTCAGAAGACCTAATCTTCGACAACGAAGGTTACGACGAAACACAACTACTGGAAGGAATGAAACACGAGTCAAACCAAATGAAACTACATGACGTCTACGACGAAGTAGATGCGTCTACCGTCGTCGACAACGTCATCAGAGAAGCGATACCTACAAGATGGGTACACAGAAAGAAAGGACCAGGAGTACGAAGCCGAATCGTCGCAAAAGGCTACACAGAGAAGATCGAGGACGAAGACTCCGTCTACGCCTCTACACCAATGTTCACGACACTCCGGACACTTCTCGCACTACAAATGTCACGACCAAACTGGATAGCGCGACTAGGTGACGTCTCTACAGCATGTCTACACGCACCCAGGTAAACAACGTGACGTCTACCTTTGGCCACCTCAAGAACTCTGTCCACAACAGGACAAAATCTGGCGACTAAAGAAAGCCATGTATGGACTACGCAGTTCACCAAGAGCATGGCAGGACTACCTGGCTGAAGTGTTACAAAAGCTCAGCTTTGTAAGACTAAAGTCAGAACCTAACGTCTACACCAATGCGACTCGCGACTGCTACATCATGGTCTACGTGGATGACCTCTTGGTACTTGGTGACAAGACTACAGTCGACTCCACCTTCGAGGCCATCCAGAAGCAGGTCCTACTCAAGCACATCGGCTACCTCGAACCTGGCAAACCACAACAATTTCTTGGAAGAAATATCGACCACTTTGGCAACTACTGCAATCTTGGACTAAAGGACTCCTACATCGACAACATGATCGAGGAGTCTGGAATGAACAACTGCAACTCAGTGAACACTCCAGGAATTGCACACTACAAACCAACAATAGAAGATGAAGCACTACTTGACCACGAACAACACAAAAGGTACAGAAGGATTGTTGGCAAACTTCAATGGTTAGCATACACACGACCAGACATTGCATACTCCACAAAAGAACTAGCACGAGACCTCACAGCACCTACAGAACTTTCACAAAAGAGAGTCAAACATCTACTACGCTACTTGCACGGCACCAAGCACTACAAATTCACCATAGAACCAACAACAACACTCAGAGCAAACACCAACAACATCCTGGATCTCGACGTTCATGTCGATGCCGACTGGGCAGGATGCCCTACTACCAGGAAATCAACTTCAGGTTTCAACATCATCTTTTTAGGAACAACAGTTGCATTTGGCAGCAGAACACAAGCTACAATAGCACTCAGCTCAGCAGAGTCTGAACTCTACGCCATTTGCACAGGAGTTAATGAGGGACTACACCTCAGAAACTTCCTACTTGAAACCAACATTTGCAGCAAGCTAAACCTACGCATCCACACAGACTCCACAGCAGGCAAGAGCATTGCTACACGACAAGGCACTAGCAAACGAGCAAAACACATCGACCTTAAATTTCTCTACACACAAGACCTCATCAAGCACGACATCATCAGAATCCTCAAAATCAACACACTACACAACAGCTCAGACTTGTTCACAAAATACATCAGCAAAGAAACACTACAGAGGCTCATACAGAGCATCGGCATACGCGTTTAGCACTACGAACAACAACTGTTTCACAACTATTTCACATCAACCACAACAGTTTGTTTATGGCCATATGTAACTACTTGCATGTAAGTAATAGTAACAGTAACTACAAGTCACAGTAATTGTAACCACCAGTAATTTGCACTTACACGCTTTGGCGGCTTTTGGCGGCTTGAGACAACATTACATGTTGTTTTGTTTTACTACATTCCCGCATGTGTTTTTGTGAGCTACCATTTAGCTCACTACTCTGCCCTGTCTCACTTCGTTTGCTTGATCGCACTACCAGCAATGTCTGGACCCGTGGATGCGACTACGACCGCGCCTGAGACTACTGTGCCAGCGCAGGAGATTGGCACTACTACACCTGACCGAGTTTCGACACCACCCAACCAACCATCCACTACAGATGCCAGCAGCATGGTCTCTGTGGCACCTCCGCCACCTGAGGCCTACAATGCCCTCAACTACCACTTCAACCACCAACTACCGACCAATGCACCCTTCTACAGGCCAGATGACATCCTGAACCACCTCACTACTGTCGAGTACGACAGTATCCACACTCCGACTGTGGATCAGGGACGAAACTACGCCGAGGTCTACGCGGGGCTGACCTTGGAGGAGTATCAACTACTCAGCCAACAGCAGACCACGCCAATGCCAGACCTCGACTACCAACTGCCCATCCACAACCTGCCATCAGACCTACGAATGCCCCTCTACGATTCACTACCACTCAGCCTACGCTTTTCAGAAGCGTTCAACTTCTTTTACTACAACTTGACTTCACTACACCTCACCACATCGCACACCAACTCCATGGTCATCGTTCGACTTCATCTCCCTCAAGAAATTTTGCTACACTACATCAGCAGCGGCCACCTCATCAACTTTTCTCGTGACTACTTGAGTCACATGGTGTCAATCATTGGCCAACATCACCTACCCACTCGGCAACTACCCCAACGACTTCACAGGATCAACTACGACATGAACCAGATCACCAATACCTTCAACCTGTCCAACAACTACATCTGGAACTACCACATGCCTCTTCACCTTCCTGAACTACTCAGCTACTACGACCAACCACAACAACTACAGGATCACCACTACAAAGCAATCAACACCATCATGCACAAGAGTTCCACGTACTACGGATTCACACTACTCACTGCCACAATCTTCCCATGCAACACAAACTACTACTACACAAACTCCTCACTACATTTCAACAACCACTTCCACCTCCAGAAATATCAACTACACTTGTCTTCGAGGAGGCCCTGACTTCCTTACTACCTTCACTACCAACCACTACGCCAGCCTTGACCACCGCACTGGTCAGCAACAAGGCTATAGAGTCCAGCATTGGACTAAGCACACCTAACTACAGGTGATGCTACATCAGTGAAGCAGCACCACAGCTTCACTACAACTTTGGACCTCCAGGTCCAAACTACATCGGAATGTATCTCATGAACTCCACTCAGTACCACTACTGAGGCCTGAACAGGAGAGCTACTGAGATCAGCCTGTACATACTACAGTTTTTTTGATCTTTGAGAGTCAGTGGACTACAGCCAGCAGAGTTGTAGTTATACTACTTTCGATCCTTTTGCAGTCAAAACTACTTTGAGCCCTTTGCACTTTTTCCCCTTTCTGGATATGGTTGAAAAGACACTACAGGGTCTTTTAACCAAGGGGCCGTGTCAAATATCATGCTGTACTACTTGTCCCTTGTACATGCATGATGTACACTACTCGACCGCAGGCCTTGAGTCTACAAGCAAAAGAGCGCATGCTGGGAAACTACATTTGTGTTTGTGACAGCATAAACAACACTTGCACTTGTAGTAAAGTAACGACGTATTTTCACGTCTCTCTCTCTCTCTCTCTCCCGGCCATGGCAGGATCAGAACAAGGGCAGACGAGGAGCAAGGAGCAAGGAAGCACTGGAGCCAGACAGCTTCAAATGTGGGGTTGGTTGTGACAAGAAAATGAACAAACTGAACAAACTGAAAAACTTGAAAAAATGAAAAACAAAGGATTCTGAGGGACATGAGGGCTGCCCTCCCAGCCATGTCCCCCCAATTTTTCAGTTTTTGAGTTTTTCAGTTGTTGTTTTAGTGTTTTAGTTTTCCTGGGTATCTGCCTTGAATAGCCTTATGCCAGCATAGTGCTTGGCAGATGAGAGGCTTTTACAGATGCAGAAAGAGGGCCTGCAAAATGAGTGTTCTGGCAGATGCATGTTTTGTCAGAGGGGGGGGTACCATATATATATATATATATGTATATATGTACATATATATATATATATATATTTACCTATATGTATTTTCTGCATGTATACACATATATATATGTATATATACATACATATCTATGTATGCAGATGTATGTATATATACAAAATATGTATATGAGGCGATTTATCCTCTTTTTGTGTATGAATCCTGGGAGCAAGCCAGCAAAAGGCTTGGCTCAAAGTAGCGCTTTGCCCAGGCGTGGCTGTTTTGGGCCCGGATGAGGCGCACAGCCAACTCGGAGCGGGTCGGTTCGGGCGTGTCGTTTGGAGTACGGAGCTCAGTTGCGGGGAGCCAGAGAAAGTGGGAAGCCACGTTTTCCCCTCTTACGAGGGAAAACAGTAGATATGAGTATCTGAGTATTTGGACAGAACAATGGGTAGCGTTTGGTAGTATTCAGGTCGCCTTGGGGTTGAGTTTCGTTCAGGAACCTGTCCGCTACTCAAATATACATATATGCATACATGTTCATATATACACTCATACATATTCATATATACACTCATCATTACATGTGCATATGAGCCGTGAGCGAGAGAGATGGAGAGAGAAAGAGTCAGCGAGATCGCGAGAGCGAAAGAGTCATGTCAATGAATTGTAAAGAAGGTTACTGGGTCCACACTCTCTTCCGTCCCGCGTAGAAACTCCCGCCCCAATGTAGAGATTTGGGTCAAATATATTGCAGGACCAATGGCAAAGCGATGGCAGTCGCGAGGTTCCAAACGGAATGTGAGCCACATGCTCAAAACCTGGGTAGATGATCCGGTTGGTAAATCATAAATAGCAGGGGATATCCGGGGATATCCGCCTTCTTGATTCTTGAGGCATAGTTCTGGGTCGACCATTTTGATATTGGGTTTGATTCTGACTCATGTGCCTGTGGGGTAAGGAGTCGGCGGACACCTACTTCATGCGCCACGTAGGGGCCAGACTTGCGCCCAATTCGAACGGCGGCTTGCCACTGGGGCAAGAGAAGGCACAGCCCAGTCGGAGAAATATGCTGCTCTGGCTCTTTACGTTCCATCCCCGCCAACAAAAAAAAGGTTTTGTGTAAAAAGTGCCTGTTGGTGTGTCCCCTTGGTCTCCCTTTTCTGCACCACCCAAAGGAAGGTGCCCTCGCAAAAAGCGGGGAGCCCTTGCGGGCCTTGTGGTTCCCTTTGAACCACACCCAGAAAGGTTAGCCTCAAAAAGACACACACACACACACCCTTAGAGAACTCCCCCCCCCAAAATTAAAGGAATAAAATAAATAAAATAACAGAACAACAACAAAAGACAGCAACAAACAAACAGACGCATTCCCGGCTGCGAGACCCTCCCCCGCTTTCCCGCTTTCGGGCGTAGGCCGTCGCAGCGGTGGTGCTGGAGCCTTTCGCGCTGGGAGACGAACTGCCCTGGCTGAAGGCGCCGAAATTGGAACAAATAGACTAGGTCCTCCGGCTAGGCGCCCTTTCTTTCACCCCAACTTTTTTGGTTGGGAGGGTTCCCCTACTAAAATAGACTACAGAAAAAAGTTGGTAGCCTTATTCTAACCTCTCCAATCTGGAGGACCTAGTAGAGCAGCGCCCAAACGGCTGTGGCTCAAAAAGCCGTACGTGGCACCTCGGTTTTTCTTTGAACCAAAGACAACCTGCGCAAGCATAGCTCTTGGAATTTGGGCAGCGCCCAAATCTAGACTCTTGCTGGTGCCCAGTAGGTGGGAAGGAAGGCATTCCCGAAGAAAGGAAACCACCAGTTGGAATTAGGATCATTCCCTCATTCCCTGGGGAGCACCGGCAAGCGCTGAACACCAAAAAAGAAAGACACCGGCTCTGTTTCATAGTCAAGCTTGTAGGCAAGAGTATCGGATGAGAGCCCTCCCTTCGTTTGGCTGATTTCCTTATCCTCAAACAGGTGTCCAGCAATACTGTGGATGGACGAACCATTTTTTTCGCACCACTTTGGAAACCACAGTTGACATCACAACATTTGTTGGTATTTACGTTGGGGAATGGAATCATTCCAGGGTTTCTTAGGTGGTGCAGGATTTCGTCCATCCCCAGTATCACAACCACACAGCGGATTGAACGGTCACCACACCCGTAAGACCAAGTACTTAGTAGTTGTTGGACATTTCCTGCCTTGGGACAATTCTTTACAAGGTTTTGGAGTGAGGCTTTTAGTGCCGGACTTCGGCTTTGTTTAATCATCAGTCAGAATATTATAACGCTATATATTGTGTTCCATCCAGTAAGCACTCATATGGTTGTGGTTCAAAACCTAAGGTGCCTGTTTGTGGATGGTTACCACTCCACTGTTGTCTTTTTAGAAGGCTTTCTGGGTGTTCATCGGGGCTTATGGGTTTTGACCCATAGCCCATATGTAGTCTTACACTCATATTGTGGATGAACGAAATCCTGCACCACTTTAAGGCCATGGGACACCATTGCTTGTATTTGTGGGGGGAATCATCCTTCCAGAGTTTCTTAGGTGCGAAATGGATTTCGCAGCCATCCCCAGTCTTATCCTTTTGGTTTCATCGCCGTGTCTCGTCGCGGTTGGGCCACCGAGCCCATCTCTCTCTCTCTCTCTCTCTCTCTCTCTCTCTCTCTCTCTCTCTCTCTCGGAGGCCTTCCGCTGTCTGCCGGGCGGAGCCCACGTGCCGGCAGGCGGGCGTTTTGCTTCTTTTCGGGTTTGCTTTGAGGTCGCCCGCGAAGGATGCCGAGCAAATTGAGAACCACCAACCCCTTGAAAGAGGTTGTTTAAAGAGCCATATGGCTTGGGGCAAAATTGGGTTTTGTTCTTTTCCACCAACCCCTGAAAAGAGCTATGGGTTGCGAGCCAACTCGGGCTCAAAAAGCGACAAGGCCTGAGACGAGGGAAGCCCCGTGCGAAGGCTTCAAAGACTCCTGAGTGAAAGCCCAGAAACTACGATTCCTGAATCAGGTTGGGAAGGGTTTCAGTTTGCCACCAACTTTTCCCGCGACGAGGGTGAAAGATTAGGTTTTATCTGGACTCCAGCGGCTGCGGTGTTCTGTGGGCGAAGCAGAACAAGGGCAGGTGCAGGCGAGCGGCGGGAAGAGCATGAAAGACATCCACTGCCATCCCTCCGTGCTGCATGGAAACCCCACAAGCGCAGCAAAGCGACTGCCACAACAGCTTTCCCCCGGAAGAGAAGCTTGTTGTTTGGGTGAGACACTCTATGACCAGTGGCGGAGTACCTGGCACATGTGTGGTTTGAGGCTCATTTGGTCCAAAAAATGTGGGGGTTGCCCCGAAAGGCAGGGCTTCGGTCAGCTCCGCCCCCCCGCGCCCCCGAGCCACCCAGCTGCCCACGGTGGGGTAACGATCCTGGCGGTGCTGGTCGAGTGCCCGGACGCCCCGATTCGAGTCGAGTCCATGCGCCCGATGCTGGTGCCCGTTTTGGGGTTGAAGGGAACCCCCAATGGAAACCGAAGCCCATAGCTGCTCCCCGATTTTTGCCAGGGCACTTCTTTTTCGGGGTGGTGTTGAAGTGGTTTCAAAGAGAAACAAAAGGAGCAACCGCCTATTTTGGAGGGGTATGGCACTCCTTACACCAACATGGCACCCGATAAATCGAGGAATCTTTGAAGAGGAACTGGATCTTCCATGCAGCCTCCTGCAAATGCGATGTTTGCAGGACGAAGATAGTGACAGAATAGTGATCGCAGGGAAATGTAAAGACACACTTTTGGTATCACCCATGGCCACTGCCACCATACTGACTCAAGCAACGATATAAAGGTTCCTGCGTGCTTCCTTCGGGACACGAGAACTAGCGTGAATTCCAAACCTTGTGGGCCTCCAGAGTGGTTGGTGCAGACAATGTACGAAGTCTTAAAGCAACAGCCGAAGCTTTCGGTTAGTTTGTGGTCAACTTCCGGTCGATGTTTCTTGCACCAGGTCTCTTAGATTCCTAGCTTGCCCCATTGCCAGAGATCCATCCTTTCCAAGAACTTAGTGAATTGCGCTGGTTTGTTGGGCATGTCTATATGTTCCGGGCTGTGTTCAGTGAGCGCGCCGTCTTTCAAGCGCGGCTCCCCGTGGATGTGGACCTGCTCGATGAGGGAAGGGGATACGCCTCGAAACCTGAAATGGGACGCGGACCCGAAAAGCTGGCAAGAAAGTCGGTTCTCTTTTGGTCAGTAGAAAACCAACTGACAGGCCAGTTTCGAATTCAAGCTGACATCACTGCATTTGGCATCCCCCTGGAAGAGGTTTCGCCTCTAGCGGCATCTGTGACTAGTGAGAGATCGGCCTTCCCGGAGGTTTCCCAAATTTTCGCAGCTGACCATGGCGACCGGTTCTCTGTTGGTTTCCTTTCATGGGGCCAACTCGACTCGGATTGAAAGAACCACGGATGAGGCTTGAAGCTTCCTTTCTGGGGAGTTCCGTGATTCGGTGGGCGAGTTACGATTTGATGACTGCCCGTATCATGAAGAAGCGGCAGGCAAACGGCAGGGACTTGCTTTGGCTCAACGGGTTTCCGCTCAGCCTCTTGCTTTTGAAGGGGAGCAGCGGGTCCCAGCATCCCATCTTACGCACTGCAAGTCATTTGTGCAGGGGATTCCTAGTTTGCAACGTGGGAATTATGTCGTTGACCCAGGCTGAATAAGCTTTGCACCCCTGATTTAATTTTTCGGGGTGTCCCACTTAAGACGGGATTCTTCACATTTTGGGCAAGCACCCCTATGAATTCACCCGGTTGGCAATTTGTGCAGACAAATCGACATGGGTCTGCCTCAAAGCCTCAAAATAGGAGGACCCCCAAAGCCAGGAAAATTCCTTTCGACTGACCTTAAGAACCATCGACGGTCCCACAATTTCGAGAGAAGACCCACATGCAAACAGATCGGGGTTAGTCCGTGAGCCCATGCGGGTGCGCAGCTTCGCGGGCTTGGTCGCGGCGTTTCTCGCTCTCGCGCTCCTCAGCGCAGAGGGGTTTGGGGCATGGAAGAGATGCGCAGTTCTGTCACATCTTTCAACCATCGCTTTTTGGTTGCAGGAAATGCTTGGGCAGAAATCAAATCGCGAGCAAGGGGCGTCAAAGTCGTGACGAAATGCAAAGAGTTTCAGCCTTCAGGTAACCCCTAGTTAGCACCATACCACCGATTGGGGTCCCAACTTCTTGCCGGAAGCCCCAAACTTTTTGCCGGGAGCCGTGGGTGTTCCGATGGGGGCTCAAGTCGGACATGCGGCGACTCACGGCAGGTCCCGCAACAAACACGTGGGGACAGACCCCGCTCCCGTTTCCTTCCCCGCAAATTAACATGGAACCCCAAACAAAGGTTCCCTCAAACGGTGGTTCCTCTCAAACATATATATATATATATATGTATATATATATATATATATGTATATATATATATGTATATATATATATATATGTATATATATATATATATGTATATATATATATATATGTATGTTTATAAACGGGGTTTCATGTTAATCTGCAGCAGGGTATCCAGAAGCTTGCTCACATTCTTCGACTCCGAGCCTGTCAAAAAAAAAACACCTTTCCGGCTTCAGAATGCTGACTTTGGATTTGTACACAGGACCCCAGATAACATAGATGTTTTCCTTTAATGGGGAACCCTGTTCCGGACGATCGTCCAGTTGCTTGCTTATGTCCTTCGACTCTACGGGTCCGAGTCCTTCTGATATTGTGACCCGCACACACACACACACACAGGAAGCCTAGCAGGAGGCATTCCAACCACTCAAGGAGCCCTTTTGGTTCTTGACTTTTGGTCAGACTCCAGGTTGTTGGTTAGTGCCCGGTCTTGGGGCTTTGGGATCGCAGGGTTCCGCCCACCCCGCCCTCGCAAAAAGCTCGCCCGTTTCAGGCTTTGCCGGGGCCGCGTTCTGACGACGCCCGGCTTCATGGCGCGAGGCTTCGGGTTCTTTTTGCCATAAGACAGGCAGAGGCTCGCAGGGATTTGGTTTGCGAGTTGGGTATGGGTCAAAATTAAACCAGGATATGGACCGCAGGTGAAACAGTCCTTGTTTTCAGTTCGGGTTCCATTTTGGGTACCACACCCGTTTAAGCAAGCCTCTTGCTTCTTGGTAAATATCATTTGTTAATCCCCTCCCCCTCCCAGCACCTAGCCTACACTTTTCCCCCACGAGGGTTACTATCCATTGACCTGGGCAAGTGACAACGACCTTGCTGAGGGTTCTTAACTCACCAAAGACGAAGCTTTTTGCGTTGGGATCCCATGTTTTCGGTGAGTGACCTATTCACATTCACTCATGTTTGAAGCTTCATTGCATTTACGGAATGACACCTCTGAAAAAGGGATCCTTTCAACAATATGCAATGGAGTGCTCAGTCTTTCCACCACAAATGCACAACTGTGTAAGTCAGAACGAGCTGAACCACGTTTTGGTCCACGCTCTTCCAACCACGCAAGGGGAAACACAGTTACATTTGGGACCCTTTTCGGCGAGCTAGAAAGCCAAAGAGGAAACCGCCATTGGGGTCTAAATCCTATTGTCATACACACCTATCCCTTCAGAATTCCTAGTGGGCTGAGGCTTGGAACACCTCCAAGAAAATGGACATATCCCAGTTTCCAAGTCATTTCCCCCCGAAAGCTTCCCCATGTTCATTGAAGCTTTCCGAGGGACGCAGACTTTGATGACGCAACGGAGAAGGATGCGACAAGGAGCCGGGTTGGGCCAACCCCTTGTAACATGTTGAAGCCACCATTTTTCTAGGGCTACCTTCATTTCCATTCTTTCCAGGGATCCTTCTTTCTAGAAAACCTCCGGGAACCCAGGGAAAACGGATCCGGTTTTTGGAAAGAACGATGGGTGAAAAGAATGGTTGTAATCAAACCCTATAATTTTTTGGTTTCCGCACATCTGCCCCGGACTCTCACTTGCCCCCACTCCGACCGTTTCTTGGCGTTTCCCCACCATCCTCGCGGGCGTTTTTGGATTTTGGTCTTTGGTTGGTTTAGTGGTGCCTTCCATTCAACCCACTAAAAGTTAAGCAGATCGCAGATCTGAGGGGAGCCAAGTTAAACAACCTCCCTTCAAAGGGGATGATGCCCTGGTTCTTTGAACAAACATGCCTAACCCTGAAGAGGAACTCGATCGTGCTCTTTTGCTCCGAGTTCTGTCCATGGTGCAAGAAAATCAACGTGCCTCGGCCTTTTGCAGCGTTGGGGTTCGGCTGCGGAGGGAGGTTGGTTGAAGCAAGCCTGGTGAGAGGTGTCAACGCAAGGGAGGGATTTGCTGTGTATCCCAGATGTTCGGTGGATTCCACCCTTAAAATTTTGTTTTTACTTGAATCGACCTTGAACAAGGTTTGACATGCTTTTCTTCCAGGGTCACTGGGCAGCTGGGGGTGGGTTGTGAAGGAGCATTGCTCGACATCAACCATGTGCAGAGCCCCCGAAAACACGTCTTTTGTAGCGCCTGAGATCCGAGGCACATTTTTGGTGAAGGGTTTTGAAGACTGCCCCGCCTGAAGTGTTTTGGTGTTTGCACCTCCTCTCGGAACGGAAAGACGGCTGGCGCAAAAAGGCGGTGCAGGCTGTCGGCAGGCGGAAGGAAGGCCTTGCGGAGTTTGGACCCTGGACTTGGTACTTGGGGGAAAAGGGGCCGGGCTAAAAATAGCCAATTTGGACGACTTGGCTTGCAAGTCAGTTTCTATCAGGTACCCCCTAGGGATTTAGATTGGTGGTTTGGGAATTTGGACCCCTGGTTCTTGTAGAGGGCAAATGGGAAACCACCAAGCCACCAAGCCACCAAGCCACCAAGCCACCAATCCAAACCACCAGCCAGTGGGAAGCTGATTTGTGGATTTCGCCTGTGAGCGAGATCAAGCAATGCGGCAGCACACTTTCACGAATGCCAGGCTGCCAGAATGGGCGATCTGTCGTCTGCTCACAAGGAATGCGAGCGTGCCCCCCAGAAGCTTGTCTGCCCAAACTATCACTTGGGTGCTCGCCCAATTTAGTAAGTTGTCGTCAGGTCAGAACCCACTTATAAGTCCATCTAAGTGGAGCTGGCCCTGTCAGTGGGCGACAACGCATGTGGCAGCCACTTACTAGCTTGTCTGAACGTCCAAGTGAATTCCTGTGAGTTTCTCATATGTCTTAGTGTCGTGGGAGAGGACGCCAATAGGTTTAGCCACAGGCATCCGACATCTCCGAGTTGCGCCTTAGGCCACCTGGACCCAGCTCATCGAGGCCTTCGGAGTGCATTCCGAGGCACGCGCCGGAGCGGGTTAAGCCTAGCCTCAGGCTGAGGATGGCACTAGAGTTGTTTAAAGGCAAGATTGTGCGCAGATGCGACCGAGCCAAAACAAAGGCGGAACCCCTAATTTGGAGTTGGCGATTTGAGATCCAGATGATTGTGTATGAGGCTGTCGGGTGAACAATATTTGAGAGCCCTGTGCGAACAGCACAGCATGGCAGCCTTGCACACAAAGACTGTACTGAGGTGTTCCAAATTGGGTCCTCCAGAGTTTTCTTTGGGCTTCCAGTGAACGCCAAAAGGCCGAGTGAAGTTTTGGATGCCCCTGGTGAACCCTAGAGTGCTAAAAGGGGAACGCAGCGGGTAGAATTGGCCTCTCCGGCGTTGGCTTCCAAAAAGCGTGGGGGTTGGCCATGGCCACAATGGGCGGCGCTAGCGGTGGTGGGGTTATTATTGGTGTCCTGGTCATTAGTAGTGACCAGGATCATTATTAGTGTCCCCATCAGTGGTGGTCCGCCAGAGCAAGCTCGGGAGCGAGCGATCAACTTGTCGTTGATCGAGCAGGGAGAAAAGCTGGGACACAACCGTGGGAATGTTTTGGGCACCTCACCCTCGGGATACTGACGGACAAAATCCCTTTGCACTGGTTGAAAGGCGGTATCCCGGCATTTCTGTGATATGGTTTCATCCATCCCAACTGGTGCTTCAATGGATTTTGTCCACGTGCATTTTTGCACCTGCGGTTTCACGCCCGATGGTACTTGGGTGGAACTTGAAATATCACAACTTCGGATCCGACTTTCTGGTTCATTGAACGGCTGAAACTCGGGGAAACTGGGGCAGGGGGTAAAAGCGAATTTCCCGATCTTGTCGGGATTCATTTTGCACGGGTCAAATGCCAACCCGAGTTTACAAGTGGCTTTGCCTTCAAATGCAAGGCAGCTCCGACACGATCACGGTGCGAATTTTAAATTGACTCTTTAGTGAACATCACTTCCATGGGTGCCAGATTTATGTCCAACAGCATGGGCACATGGGGGCGTTCGGCAGGTCTTTGTGGGGCACATCGACTGCGGCAATCCGGCCTTCGACGTAGGCGCGCGCTTTGGCTGGAGCCGGGCCCTGATTCGCGGAACGCCTTGGGCCTTTCTTTGGAGGGTGGGAGCTTCCAAATCAACGACCAGGCGTTTCGCCTTGTTTTTCCGTTCTTTGGTGGCGTTCCAATTAGGCCAAGACATTCACCCACACGAACTACAAACGCAGCTACAGGCAGCCAAAGCGGGGTGCCCATTTGGCGTTCTTCTCCCCGTGGAATTCCACTGGAGGTCACAGTAGGAACTTGTTGTTTCAAGAGCGAGGCTTGGTGAACATATCCCTGATGCTGAACCTGGGGTTCGGGGCATGGGGGACTGAGGTAATCTTCTTTACAAATGCCAGGCGACTCACTCATTTTGCTGTGGGTCAAAAACAATGGTACCATTATTTTGGGGTAGGTGCACCACCCATTTTAGTCTATTTTAGTGGGGATTGGGATGTTCACTGGGGGTACGGGATTTTGACCCATGGCCATTTTGCCGTGTCCCTTAACTTTACTGGAACAGCCCATTTCGGCTGCAGCGCATGTGTCAAAACTACGCTGCGGCGCGCTTTGTTGGTGCACTTTTCAAGAGGAGAGCGACTTGAAACAAGACTGGGCTTCAATGATTCTTGTCTCACATTCCCAAACATGTAGAAACGATGCCGGGATGTAGAAGCAATTCAGAACATGACTCAAACGTTCTTGGTTGCTCTAGGCGTCAAAAGTAAGGGTCAACATGTTCAGAACGGCATCCCATTTCAGCATCTTGGAAGATCAGACATGAACGACCCACCAAACCAAGTCACATTTGCAAGGGCCGGGCTGGCACCCAAACTATATTTCGTACAGAAGACCGGGCAGACCAAGATCCGACTGGCTCGTGGAAACTTACAAGGACGTTTTCAAACTCGCCTATGCGAACAAGGTGGGCCTCCCCACTAATGATGCACACTACCAACTAATAAAGCGGTGTTTTCCCTTTTCCCCTTTGCAACCGCCAGTGCTTCCGGTTTCCCTTTGCTTTCCCCCCGAATTGGGAGCAAAAAACAAAAGGACCCCAGGACTCCGCGCCTGACCTCCAGACACCAACCCCCCCCCCCCCCCCCGTTTTCCCTGCCGCCGAAGCCGAAGCCCCCGCGGGTTCTGCGAAGCAGTTCGCCGAGGATGAAGTCCGAAGGCTCGGTGGCCTCGGCTTGCAAGAAGCACGAGATCGAGCCGGTCTGCGACAAGCAGCCGGGCCACATCCCCGCGGTGAAGTACTACGACGCGCCGCGGGACTCAATGGCGTTGGTCTCAATCTCCGAGCCCCGGTTTTGGGTGAAGGAAACCAAAAGGGCACGACTTGTTCCTTGGGGTTGGTACACGTTTTGGGCTTTCTTTGAAGGTAAACAAAAAAAGATACTCCTGCTTTGAGGGACCTCCATATGACCGGGGTCAGGATTTCACTTTCTGGTGCTGTTCACAGTCAGAAAGTCTTCAACCTACCAGTTGATGACAAGATCTTGGCGCCGGTATGAGGGGCTGAGGTGTGTCGCTGCCATGTCAGCCCCTATGGCCAAACCTCAAGGAGCATTCGATCGGATCTGGGGAAATGGTTTCCTAAAATGTACTCACCGAGCTTGGGAAGGCCATCTTAGTGGCAAACAGCAAATGTTTATGTTTTTCTTTTCTTCTGTGGGGGCTTTTGGTGGGTGGTGTTGAAGGAACGCTATAGGAAAACACCCCCCCACACATATTAAGGGCAGGTTCTCGTGTTTGGTGAATCAAGTTCCCAATGGCCTGAGACCTATCGGGCTTTTGAGGACACTTCAAAGAGAGCCAAGCCCTGGGATTTCTTCATTGGGAAGACTGTGTTGCTATGGGGAGTGCAGAGAACCTTGTACAACCCCGTTCCGGCCATGCTCAAGACTCCCTTTGGGGAAACCGTTGTCAGTTCTGTTTTTCGATTGAAGTATCCACGAGCATGCTTGACGAGGGCAGGAAATCGGTTGAGCCTCCCAGGCGCCACCCTCAGAGGGCTTTCGGCTGCTTCCGAGGCATGAGGCGAAGTGGTTCAAGTACAAGCGCAGCTTGGAGGGGGATGAGCTGGAGACCTTCATCGCTGACAGGCTGCTGCCCATGTGCGACGTGCGGACCCACGAAAAGTGCAGCCAGCAGGAGAGGGATTCAACGGGCTGGGTTTCGGTGTGGTTTTTGGAGTATGGCTTGTGGGAAGCTCGGTTTTAGGACCAACTTCTGTGACAAAGCTTCCCAGAAGAAAAGTAGTCTGCCAAAACCCGCCTGTGAGCTTCCATGATTGTTAGAGTGAGGGTAACCATGGGGATGTGCGGGATGGCCTTCTTTCAGTACCACCGAAAGGCAACCATGACTTGGGGGTTCGGCCAAGTTAGGAAGTGGTCAGCCACTTTGGGTTGCAACCCTGTTACCTTGTATTGGCTCTACTTGGGCGGGGAGGGGGATGTACTTAGGTTATGAACAACTTAGCAACTTGCCACTGAAGGTGCAGGGTCTGTCAGGTATCCTGGCTATCACCCACAGCACGGGGACTCACGACCATTGGTGGGTTACAACCATGGTTGCTACAGGCATTGACTAAGCATCCTGCAGCCTTCAAGTAGTTTGCTGGACATATGCATGGGTTCTGCAAAAGGGTAGTTTCGTTTTTTCTTCTTCTTGGAACCCGAACTCCCAAAAAGATGTTGCACAAGGGCCTGGGCCTTTACCAGCTTGGTTTGGGGTTGTAGGTCCCCTAACCAAAGGTTGGGTGTTCGGCCAAGCAAGCTGTTGGACACCTAGGCCTCACTTGTACATCCCTCTGAGTTGGAGTCAATCCGGTCAGTGGGTTAACCCAAGTGGCCGAGCACTTGCTGACCTGGCGGAACGTCCGAGAGGTCGGAACTGGGCGGTTGAAGCAAACAGGCTTTTGTATTTTGGCAGCGCCCAATTACTCTGGAAGGGTCGACGTGATCGGTTCAGCTGGTGCCGGTTCACCTGGTGCCAATCCAGATAAATCAGAAACAGTCACTGTTAAATATGGCCCCCCTTCTGGATGGAGATTCAACGGCAACCAAAAAGGAAGACCAATAGACACCCAGTATAACATTTATCGTGGTTTGTGGGAACGCACGTTGCAAATGTTTTTTGCAGGTCACATTGTGATTCACCCCTCTTGAACATGCATGTGTTTAACGCCCCAAAAGGCTCGCGGGACAAGCCTGGTCTTGGGTTCTTCCATTCGCCGAAGCTGGATTTGCTCCGGACCAATTCTAACCAGCTCGGTTGCCGGAAGCTCACCCATGAAGGCTCTCTCGGGAACGTCCTTGTTTCCCAGTGGCTCTCTCGGGAACGTCCTTGTTTCCCAGTGGATCATAGTGGCTTACCCAGATTTGGG